AATAGAGGTGGTGCTGATCAGCCACAAGTTCAAAAAAGACAATATTGATTACTATTCCACGTGGCACTGTGCCTGTGTGGCGCAAAGGCGAGTCTTTTTGAATATTTGCTTCGTTATTGACACCTGTCCATGCTACCAATCAACTTTGGTGCATAACACCGTGGGTACTACCCTCATTCTTTTTGGGAGTTCCAGCTCCACCGCATTAGGTTTGACTTCCTTAATCTGGTAAGGGCCAATCCACTTTTCGGTCAGTTTTCTGGACTGCCGATCTTTTAACTTTAAGTGGTCGGTATCTAACCAGACCAGGTCACCAACCTTGTAGTCAGGGGCCTTAGAGCGTCTATGCTCTGCCCTGTCTTTCATCTGCTCTGCAGTTTTGAATAGCACTTTGCGCGTTTTGTCTAAGACGGACTTCATGTCCTTAGCCATGTTCCTAGCAGCCTCGTTCTTGCTCTTGCCAGGTTCTACACCCATTCTGGGGAGGTACAATATAGTAACTTCAAATGGTGACTTTCCTGTAGCCAACGACTGTTTGATATTATAAGAGAACTGGGCTATTTTTAGCCACTTGGCCCAATCCGTCTACCTGTCATTAATAAATATAGGGAGATACTGTTTCAACTCCTGGTTGAGTCTCTCCGTTTGTCCATCAGTCTGTGGATGGAACACCGTTGATAATTTAGGTTTAATGCCCAGCATCCGGCATAGTTCTTCCGTAAATTTGCTAGCGAATTGTGGTCCTCTATCGGAGATAACCATTTCTGGTAATCCATGGATAGACCATACAGAATATTTAAATGAGTCTGCCATACCAGCGGCGGTAATGGTTTTATTGGTAGGTATGAATACTACTTCTTTGGAGAAGCGATCGACTACCACCATTACTGAATCATACCCATTTGACTCGTGCAGATCCATCATAAAGTCAACCGATATATCCTGCCAGGGGCCAGCTGGTATCAGATTTGGCATAAGTTTACCGGCCGGCAGTTGATGAGAATTCTTAGCCATGGCACATCTCAGACAGGATTTTATGTATTCCTGTATGTCTTTGACCATGGCAGGCTACATGTAGTTTCTGGAGATCAACTCCATTGTTCGTTGCCATCCAGGGTGCCCAGCCACTGGAGTGTTGTGATGTCTATCTATTGCCTTGATCCTTATGGACTCAGGCACATAGATCTTATCTTTAAAATGAAAGAGCCCGTCTTTCCATAGATAGTTTTCATTGCCATCAAGGTGTGCCTTCTCTTCTGAGGAGATGTCTTTCCTGAAGACTTCCAGAAGATCGGAATCCTGCCAGATTCTAACCCTTGATTGGTCTATCAAGGTAACACCTTTGTTATCATCTTCAATGCCGTTGGCATGATCCTCTCTCCTGGATAAAGTGTCCGCTTTCCCTATAGAGCTTCCAGGCTTATGGATTAATTTATAATTAAACCTTGACAAGTACACCACGTAGTGGGCCTGTCTCCGGTTCAAGTCTCGGGCCGTCATAAAATACTCCAGATTCTTATGATCGGTCCAAATTTCAAATTGGTGCCTAGCACCTTCTAGGTAGTGCCGCCAGTGCTCTAAGGCTCTAATGATGGCTAGCATCTCTTTGTTGTAAATTTGATAGTTGCGCTCTGTAGGCAACAAACTATGTGATAAATAGGCACAAGGCCACCAAAGATTGTCAGGGCATTTAATTGACAGAACAGCCCCAGTATCAAAATCAGAAGAGTCAGTTTCTAGCCGGAACTCTTTGTCTAATTCTGGAAATGCTCGTATGGGTGCTGTTGTAAACACCTGTTTAAGCTTATAAAAAGCTTCTTGTTCCTTGGTGCCCCAATGCCAAACAATGTCCTTTTTAGTGAGATCGTTCAACGGTCTCGTGATTTTTGCGAAGTTTTCGATAAACCTTCAGTAGAAATTGTTAGTTTTGGTGATTCTGCACCTTTGTGCTACCTATATATTTTCATTCCTTTCTCTATCTATTCTTCTATCATTCACTATTGATTGTGTTCTCTATTATTTTGCCTTTGTGGCCGCTTTGTTTACCTTTGTTTACAAAACTTCGGACAGTACTGCAGAGTCCAATGCTTCCTACTCTCTAGTTACTCACATTGGACTCTAGTTCCAGTCCCTGATTGCTCTCAGCAAGTGGCTAGACACTTCCTTCAAGCTTTGTTCTTAATAGAAATTGCCTAAGCCAAGGAAGGCCTAACTCCTTTGATGTGAGTAGGTTCTGGCCAAACCAAGATAGCTTGAACTTTCTCAGGATTTATCCTGATTCCGTTCTGGCCTATGATCATACCGAAGAAGTCTACTTCCTTCACTTTAAAATTATATTTTTCGGGTTTGACGAATAGGTCCCGTTCCTGTAAGCGTCGAAGGACTTCTTGCACGATTCTGTCATGCTCAGCCTCATTGTCCGACTTTGTAAATATTAACAAATTGTCAATGTAAATGACGACACAGTTTTCCATATCCGCAAAAATCTTGTTCATTATGCTCTGGAAGGTTGCCAGTGAGTTGGTCAACCCAAAGAACATAACAAGGGGTTCAAAGGATCCTCAGTGGCACATGAACGCGGCCCTCCAAGCATCTGCTTCTTTGATTCATACATTATTGTACCCCCATCTGAGATCCATCTTTGTCAAGATCTTGGCACCAGTCAATTTGTCTACTAGCTGACTGATCAAAGGCAGCGGATACACATTTTTAACTGTGTGCTCATTCATGTAACGATAGTCCATAATCATATGCTTCTTTCCATCCTTTTTAGGAATGAAGAACACTGGGGACGTCATAGGGCTTTTGGAAGGTCTGATGTAACCCTTCCTAAGCTGCTCATCTATGAAGCTAGAAACCTCATCTCTTTCTGGAGCAGAGAGTGGTATCATATATCCTTTTCTTGGTTTGAAAGTGTCCTTCAAGTCTATAGCATGGTCCCAAGGCTTAGCCTCTGGGAAGCGCTCTAACTTATGTTTAGAAAAGACTTTCCAGAAGTCATGGTACCCGGGAGGTACCAGCCTCTTAATCTCTTCCTCGGGTTTTACCTCGTCATTGTCATCATCAATCTTTTCTAGAGATCTGAGCTCATAAATGTGACCAGCGTTTATCTTTTCAAGACGCTCATTGTGACGGATGTGACTCGGCTTACCCAAGTTCACACATTCCTGAGGGCAACGTGACAATATGACAACCCCTGTCTGTTAGTCGATCTCAGGATTGTGTTTAAATAGCCAGGTCCAGCCCAAGATTAAATTAATCTTCCCTAGTTGAGTAGCTTCAGCAGTAACTCGTTCTCTGTGTCCTTGGTATTCAACAACAAAGGAACATTTGTGTGTGATGCAGCCACCTGCGTTAAGTGTACCGTCAAAGTTATAGACGGGAATAGATACATCTAATTTTACAAGGGGGAGTCCAATCTGCTCCGCCCAGACCTGGTCTATGAAGATTTCGTTAGCGCCTGAATCAAGCAGTGCGCTTGTTGGGTGTACTATGCCCCGGGCAAGGTTTGCCACACCAACATCTAAGCGGATCTCTTTTTGGAATAAATATGTGCACATCAACACACACCTTGGGATTTTGGGAAAGGGTGGCTCCAAAGAAGAAGAAGTATCGAAAGAAACATGTTTTTCTATTTTATTTTTACCAGAATCAAGCACCCTAGTGTTTGTCTTGCCGGGGCCACACTCAGAAGGAGACGCTGGTGCAGCGGTAGCATCATAAATATTACAGTTACAAGGCTTCATACAAGTACATATTTCCGATAACAAATTTTGAAATCTATTTACAAATTGGGGAGCCATCCCCGTCTTCCCTTAATTGCTCGTGCAACACCCCGAAGCAGGGGCCACCTTGTTGTGGTTTACTTCATTGTTCATAGGAGCGAAGATACCCAAGTGACCTAAGCTCCGAACTCTTTTCCCTGAGCCTTCATCTCATTGACCCGTTGGTCATAGAAAAAGGCCCGGATTTCGTCGTAAGAATGACCAGCCAAAGAGTTGAGCCGATTGTCTGGTTTTTCGGATTCTAATTGGCGCACCTGGCGCCCTTGATTATTTTTTTGTTGAGCGGCCTGCACTCCTTTTCTGCAGTCTCGGGACATGTGTCTCTCTATTAAAAACAAAGCTTGAAGGAAGTGTCTAGCCACTTGCTGAGAGCAATCAGGGACTGGAACTAGAGTCCAATGTGAGTAACTTTATTATTAGAGAGTATGACAGGTATACAGTACCTAGAGTCCAATGTGAGTAACTAGAGAGTAGGAAGCATTGGACTCTGCAGTACTGTCCGAAGTTTTGTAAACAAAGGTAAACAAAGCGGCCACAAAGGCAAAATAATAGAGAACACAATCAATAGTGAATGATAGAAGAATAGAAAGGAATGAAAATATATAGGTAGCACAAAGGTGCAGAATCACCAAAACTAACACCCTCTTGGCCGCAATTGTAGCAGTTCCCCTTGAATCTGCGCATCTGTCCTCCTTGGACCGCGCCGATATCCATGGGGGCTCCCTGCCCTGGTTGCAGCCCGAACGGCTTGGACCCATGAGAATGATTATGTTGGTTTGATGACCCAGGGCGCCTCTGGGAATAGTTGTTTTTGATGGTGGACCCGCCACCTTGGTGCATTTTGTAGAGCTCTATGGCCCTACCAATCTTTCTCACCTCCTCTGCTGCTACAGAGAGGTCATCACTTCTCATATCTTGCAGATAGAGCTGTTCTGCAATGTGGGGGTTCACATTGCGTTCCAGCAGCTCCACTGCATGTTCATTACCAAGACCCCCTTGGATGGAGAGGGCCAGGAACCTGGTTACGAAATCATCTGTCCTCATGTTGCCTTGTTTGAAGGAACAGATTTGCTGATGCGCTTAGTCATGCTCAGCTTGCGGTTTGAAGTATTTTTCAATCTCTACCTTGAGATTGTCTCAGGTGGGCCACACTCCTGCAGTGTAGCACTCCTGCATTCTAACTTGGGCGTATCGACCCGCCACAGGTCCCTTTAGTCAAGATAGCACCGCAGTGGCTACCTCAAAATTGTCGGCAAATGCATCCCAATTTGCCTTGACCCAAATCTGAAGTTTGATCCACCATTCGGTGAATTGTGCTCTGTCTCCTTCGAAGGTGCCAGGGTCAGCAATGACTTTGACTTTCTTGTTGAACTTTTTCTCAACCGAGGGGGTTGCTACAGGGGGGTTCGTGTGAGGAATCGATTTTTTCCTTATTGCATTCCCGTCATGTCATAGTTAACCAACTCAATCCCTGTCACTCCTCTTGCCCTTGGACTAGAGATCACAGCAGGTGTCTTATTACTTTTATCCTTTTTCTTCTTATTCTCTGTTTACACTCACGTTCTATTGTACTTACAACGAAGGAGATTTGTTGTAGACCCTCAAGAAGATATCCAAATGACATAGCAACAACCCAGTGCTATGTCTGGGAATACTTTGGAGGGATATTAATAAGCAAAGAAGGTTGTGAGTCAGCACCTTCTCATGGGCTTACTGATACAGCCAATCGCACACCCCTTACCAATACGTTTTCTCATACGATTAGTAAATATGATAGATCAGACCACTTTCTTCTTCTTTTCTTATTGGTTAACTAGCTGGTCAGACCACTTTCTTAGTTCTTCCCTTTCTCGGTCTGACCATCGCCGTTCACTATATAAAGAAGTACATACTCGATATATTATTCTCTAGTTCAATATTAGTTTGGATTTGCGCCTATACTGATACTCTTCAAAACTCATACCCTGATTCACCGCCTTCCAGCAAGGACTTGACCAGGCTTTGTATTTTGTTATATAGCTTTGTATTTGTTGCCTGACAGTTCGCCCACAGCTCGGCAAGTTGTGTGGTTAATGCCAAGATCTGCTGCCGCATGTTGTGCAACAGAGCGTTGACATCTTGGGGTTGCAACGACATGTTGACTTGTTCTCTTTGTAAAGTAAATGAAAAAATGTAACTGGGGGTCCCCGCTTGCTATCTGCGGATCTACCTCTTCCCAGCTGAGTATCGGATCTCAATCTCCGACTACCCACACTATAGTATTTGAAAATGTATATAAAAAGTATTCATACAAAACCCTGGTCCGAACGGTTGTCAGGGGGTGGCCCGCTTGTTAAGCTGTCAGCCCTTCTCCAGACTGGCGGAGGCAAGTGCCCGGCCTGGTCAGAGGTATTTGAAGAAGAAGTTTTTTGTATTCTAAAGTCTAATCAACAGTGGTTCCACACCAACTGCTGAGCTATAGTACTCCCCTTAACGCTGGAGGCCGTGTATCACAGGTATTGGTTCTTCACCCAAAGCACTACAAGGCCGTTGCTAGGAGCGCACCTATCTGCTATACGGGATATTCCTAACCAATAACCAAATCTCCTTCACCCTGGAGTCCAGGTGCCCAGTGGGACTTTTTGCACAAATGTGCGAGAGAGTAGAAGAGCGAGTCCTAATGTAACAACCAAGAGTTAGTTACTCTGGTGCACACAGGAACACACTATAAAGGTAGTGAAGAGGGAGTGGTTACCCCTTAGGCTGCAGAGAGTTTGTTGGTTAACAATAGGAGGACTCGCTGAGGAGTCTCCTGGATCTATTGGGGTATATATACTAATACAGAGTGTTTGTACTTATGTACTGTACAGTTGATAAAGACAGTGGCTGATGATGTCATGGGGCCTAGACCGCATGACCAGCTCCACTGCATGAGAAAGTTGTATGTAAAAATAAGAAGAAAGGCAATGTGGCGCAACAAAGAGGAGTTTGAACAAAAGGGGAAGTGCCGCGTGGCACCCTGTGTCAAAGCTAAAGTACAAGGTTAAGGCGGAGATGAAAAATGAAAGGAAAGGTCCGAAAACTGTGTTATCGTAACAGTTACCCTTAGGATAGGACCGAGTTAGTTGTGGGTAAACAACAGGAGGACTCGCTGAGGAGTCTCCTTGATCTATTGGGGTATATATACTACTACATGTTGTTTGTACATGTGTACTGTACAGTTGATGGAGGCAGTGGCTGATGATGTCATGGGGCACAGCCCGTGTGACCAGCTCTACTGCGAAAGATACTTGTAGCTAAAAATAAAGAAAAGCAGTGCAGCGCGAGAAGGTGGAGTTTGAACAAGATGGAAAGTGCCACATAGCACAGTGTGTGAAAACTACAGAAGAAAGTTTAAAGAGGACAATGAAATTTAAAGATCCAAAAATTATGTATCATAACACTACCCCCCTTTAAGGCTCGACTTCCAGGCAAGACCAAGTACTGGAGGTAGTAGTTAAATTTTCGGGCATAGGTTGAAATAGGGAAAGGGAATTAAAAAGTGTTGAATCCATGCCTCTAAACTTCCTGGGAGCCAAGGGATTCTTAGAATAAAATTCTCAAACAGCATCGCGGGAGTTGTCCAGATGTGCTTCAGACTCATCCTGCAGACAAAAACCGAGATTATCAAAGGACTCTAGATGAGGAACAGTCTTGAAAGGAGCAGCATGACAACTCCATGGAGAAACCTAACACTCCTGAGGTTCATGAAGAAACATCTAATACAGAGGAGACATTCTTTGCTGGAATAGCAAGTTCTGGTCCATCTAACACAGACCTTCCAAGGACACTAAAGGAAGCCTTATCACATCCGGATAGAGAATTATGGAAGTTTGCCTTGGAGGAGGAACTCCTAAGTCTCAATACCAATGCAGTATATGATACTGTCCTACTCCCAAAGGGAGTGAAACCTATCACATCAAAACCTGTGTTCTGGATCAAGTCTGATCAAAACAGAAACATTGAGAGATACAAATTCCGGATTGTTGCATGAGGTTTTACTCAAAGGGAGGGGATTGATTACCAGGAAGTTTTTGCTCTGGTTGCAAACTTAGAGTCAATCCAAATTATTCTAGCCCTGGCAGCAAAGTATGACCTAGAACTTGATCAAATGGACGTATCCACAGCTTATCTCAATGGAGAACTTGAAGAAGAATTGTACATGCTTCCTCCAGGGGGTGTTCCTAACCAACCTGGATACTGCTAGAGGTTGAAGAAATCCATTTACAGATTAAAACAAGCTGGTTGTACATGGAACAACATCTTTGCTTGCAAGCTCTAGGAGCTCAATTTCACAAGACTAAATGCAGAAACATGTCTCTATGTATTCCAGGACAACAAACAAATATACTTTGTTGTTGTCTATGTAGATGACCTCTTCCTAGGAGCTTCATCCCAAAAATTCATGGATATCACAAAAGCCAAACTTGAATCCATACTCAATATGCAGGACCTTGGAGAAGCAAAATACATCCTTGGAATAGAAATCCGACGTGATTGTTCAAACAAAACAATCTCCCCACTGCAGTGCCAATACATTGACACAGTCCTGGAGTGTACTGGAATGAAGAACTGCAAACCAGTATGGACACCAATGGCCCATGGATCAAAACTCCTCAGAAATGCTCCAGGGGAAGATATTGTGCAACACGAGATGCATGTTGAAGGACATCAAGTGTTATACCTCTCAATTATAGGCTCCCTCATGTATGCCATGCTTGGAACCTGCCCAGATATTGTCTAAGCAGACATAGCTCAGCTCCAAGGAGCCATCACTGGGAAGCTGCCAAATGTGTCCTCCAATATTTGAAAGCAACCAGGGACATGGAACCATGTTATGATGGCACAGATGTCTCCATGGACATGGATTTCTTGTTAGAATATACTCTGACATACCAATACTCCATAGGATAATACCTCTGATTTGTAAGCCAGCCCAGTATGCAGCAGCTATTCTGTGTAAGACGTCTGTGGTTGCATGTCATGTTTAAGATCCTACATTGTATAACCTTGGCCATATAGCTCAATTGATAGATCAGCTGGTATGTATCCAGAAGGTTCCAGGTTCAATCCCTGGTCTGGTCATTATCCAATTTTATCATTTCTATGGATATTTGGATGCAGATTGGTCTGGAGACCCAGACACATCTCAATCAACATCAGGCTTTGTTTTTATCACCATCCGAGGAGCAATCTCCTGGACAAGCAAAAGACAAAGCATGGTAGCTTTATCCTCCACGGAGTCAGAGTACATTGGATTGAGCAATGCTGGACAACGCCTTGCATGGCTTTGGACATTTTTTGAAGAAATCAGACATAAAAATGGACCTACAAAATTGCACTGTGACAATCAAGCAGCTACTATTCTTACACAAGATCCGCAGTTCCGTACTCACACAAAACATATTCAACGGAAATATCATTTTATCCAAGATGACTTAGTATCAAAGGGAGAGGCAGTAATCAGATATGTTCCTACAGGAGATATAGTTGCCGGCATTCTCACTAAACCCCTCCTCACAAAAAACACTGGAAATTCTCTAAAGCTATGGAACTACAGTTGCACTCGAGTGGGAGTGACAAAACCGGATAAACCCACTCTCTGCTAAAGCAGCCATTGTTCTCCTAGGAGCCTTTATACCTTAGTGAGTAGCACCTTTGACTATAAGTAGTAGGGGGTTTAGTATAGGAATACCTCAGTTGTTTCTATAGCCTCTCGGGCAGCGGCTGAGGTATGTTACATTACATTTATTAGAGATCACCTTAAACTAACATCTATTGTAGTTTCACTTAGGTAAGTCATCTATACATGCTTTTAGGTTGGCTGACAGGTTGGTCTTCATAGCTTGAGGCATGTCCTGGCATACAAAAGCCAATAGAGATCAATCATTGTTTTGAATGTTGATCTCATTAGGTATGGCAGACATTTGTATATGTAGATAAGTAAATGTGGTCTTGCAGCCATTTGTGTAGAAATTTGATAGCTGTAGTAAATCTGTTAATCAGTAGAGTATATCTAAAAAAGATAAAAATATCCTAGTACAGAGACCTGCAACGCCGAGGACTACTGGTGAGTTCTCAATGATCATCCTCTAGGCATTGGTCCAGCCTAAATTTTCTGATTGGTCCCTCCTGGCAGGGAATTGAGTATTTGCTGTTGCATGCCAGTCATAGGAGGCCTTGACCTGGATTCAGTGCCCTTGGCAGACACTGGAATTGCCTTGGTCTTGGTGGGTGGCCAGTCCTTGTTTGATCAGGTCTTCGTGGTGGTGGGTTGCAATGGTGATAGTGATTGGGTCCTCCATACATAGCACAAGGGCTGCCCTCCAATTATCTTGTGATCATTTTGGAAGCCCAAATTTACTGCATATGAATCAAAGTAGTTAATAGAATAGTGGAAAAGAAGAAGAAAAAAACACACTTGAGAGGAATTGAATGAAAGATTTGATCTGTATCCTTGAGGAAAATGGCAGGGAGGCTAAGAGGAAGCAGCTCCCGCAATTGACAAACAGTGGGTATAATTTGTGAACAAATCAATACACCACAAGCTACAGAAATAAGAAGGTTAGCAAGGGAATAGAACAGGTACTATTGGACTTACCATCTGCTGGGGGATGCCTCAGACATTTGGCCATATCACAAACAACTTCGCTGCTCACTCGGCCCAGCATTCAGCGAAGGTTAAGGCTAGCAATGATAACCAGTAAGTACACTGACCCACCTGCAGCAATCTGCAGGTATTTGCAGCCGGCTGATACCCATCAATAGAATATCCACTCGGATGGCCTAGATGCCAGATGCGCAATCTTTGTCTCATAGACATCTTTCAATGTCATGGCCTATCCTGTTGCATTCAAAAAACTCAAAAACAAAGGTTAGTAAACTAACAAAAAAGAACTAACAATTGGGACTCACCTTTGTGCCCCATAGCTAGGTTTATAACACTCAACATCAACATAAAAGACACACCCACTTCCCGCCCTACTAAATGTGTGCACGCAAGCACAGCACCCTCCACCGTTTCAGCACTACACCAAATAGTTTGGCAAATGACGGCCTTTATGGATGGAGCAATTATCAAGGATTATGATACTGTGGTCTTGCAGATAAGGATTCATTGTAGGTAGCTATAGAAAACATGTGTCAGTTGATAGAATAATGAAGAATAAACAAAAAACTTACAACATCATGTACAATGAACTCAAAGAACTGATCACCATCCAGAGATCCATGTACCACCCGCATTACACAGAATCCTGGTGACAAAGCTGCTACAAGGCTGTAGTGTTCTCCCCAAACAAAATTGGCCCGTACTACTGCTCTTCGGCCCTTAGGTGCACACCCATAATGCCTGTATATTGTTCTGTCATCCTTCCTTGTTTCATCAACCATCACAAATTGGCTGGCCACAAAATGTGTATTCACATCCTGCAGCCATTCCTCTTGTAAGTCCTCATCTCTTTCTGCAGCTGCTTTCTTCAATAGTTTGTAACTTAGCCCAGTGTCTCAGATGTGCTCAAACAGAGCAGTCCTTGAAATGCTGATGTTGTGTGCCACCAGTAACCACTCCTGTATCTCATCTAGAAACATCTCTGGCACCTTCTCCACTAGGTCAAAGATTTCATGTGAGACAATGCTGTTGAGGATGCGTGGTCGACCACGAAGAGGGTTGGGAGGTGGGCTGACAGAACCAAAGCCAGCTTGATTTTTCTCCCAGCAAGAAAGGCTTCGCTCAGATATATTGAAGATTTCGCAAACATCGGAAGGTATGTAGTTATGTTCTATGAGCCAAAGGGCTCGCTCTTTGAGGTCTTTGCTGATCAATTGATACACCATCGAGGCTCAGTATACAGAGCTTGTGATCGATAGGAATCCAGGATTCCATTGTCTTGCCATTTTTGGAAATTCTACTGATTATATAATATTTACAGTGCACAATGAAAAAAACCGGCGCAGACAACCTTTTCCGAAAACGCTGTAAGCAATTGCAGTCCGGGAAGTTCAGCGCTCGACAGAAAAATTGGCGCGACCCAACTTCATAACAACTTTTCATCCAAAACTTCATCAACTGCAGATCACGATCATATCATATAGCTGGAACGAGGTGCCTTGTACCTTGTCAATGTGTTTTTCACCTTCAAGATGCGGCCACTTGCTACAACTTTTTCCACGTATAAAGGTACACACATTTCAATCGGCAACTTGGTTCGGCATCGCTGTTTGGGGCAGTCGTTGTGTGAATACAGTGTTGTAGTATCATGCAGTAGTAGTGAGCTCAGGATGTCCCGCTAGGTCAAAGTGTATAGGTCTGGGGTAAGCTGTGGTAGAAATTGGACTTTAAGGATGCACACAGCGGTGTACGCTCTCGTGATGGCCGGGCACATCAGTTGTTGCGACCAATTTTGTCTCCCAGTGGGGTTGCAGACGGTGGTGATGCCGTGCTCGTTGTCCGGCTGTGTGTATGACAACAAATATTAATGGTTGCAGGATCTGTGATTTTTTCAGCGTTGCTGATCTTGTCAGGGGATCTTGATGGTAATTTTCTGATTGTGTGACATCTTGGCATACACAAATCTCCGGAGTTCGCTGTAGCTGTGCCAGGAACACGCGACATGCACTGTTATATGGTATCAACTACATAATGTTCATCAGTTAAAAACCAACTCCTCCTTTCACCACACTTTAGCAGTGCTCAAATCCAAATCCACCCCGTCCCACCATGTCCTCCTCATCAACCTCCGAATATCCCCCCACACCAATCACAGAACTTACACCAGAACTTACTGACACTCTTCAGAAACGTACTCAGGACGTCTTATCTTATCTCGTAAAGACCAACTCGGTATCCACCTATTTCAAGGAATCCGATGTTCTTTCCCCCTTCCGCTCCGCTCTCAAGTTTGCAGAAGATCCCCAGCTCGATGGTGCCCTGTCCGATCCTGCATCCCTCGTCGGGACCTACATGGACAACGTCCCTCTCAGCGTTTACAAAGACTATCACCCCTTCGTTTCCCGCCTCTTCGAGGAGCCATGTACAGTGTCAAACGTGGAGAATTTGATGGCACCTGGTATACCTTACTTTATCGCCCATTCCTCGGGCACGTCCAACGGAGTGACCAAGCATTTCCCCAAGTATCGCCACCCTGAACATATGTCGACATCGACGGCTGGGACGATGGCAGCTTCTAACCCCGTTAGCAAACATGGCGGAAAGAACTGCATCGCGTTCTCGCTCGGACATCGACAGGTTGTCCAACCGCTTGACCATGAGGGGAACATCGCCAGACGGATACCTGTCTGTCTTATGTCCACGGGCACCGTCCGAATGCACAATGATATGGTATAGTAACTACTTTGATATCCGTTCTTTCTTATTCATATCGCAATCTCAGGCTGTGGAACGTGATCAAATCTACCAATCAATAAGGAGTGAGTTCTTCATTCATCCTGTCCTTCACAAATCAGTCTGGAGTTACTGACACGTATGTTACAGTACCCAACAACTCGTCCCCCCTAGCAGTATCGTACATACCCAACTATAAATCTTTCCTCTTCATGCACGCCCTCTTTGCATTGCAAGAACCCAACATGGAGCTCATCAACACCATGTTCAGCACCATTTTCCGTGACTTCTGTCGCGTCATCGAAGAACAATGGGAAACGCTCGTACAGTGTATCGAGGACGGTAATGTTCCAGAATTGGAAGCTACCGGGCCGTTTATCGAGAACCTCAGGGTGAGTTTTTTTACCGTTACACTCTCTTATGTTGCCTCTGAGCGATCACTAATCCATCTCCCTATCTTCAGAGATTATTTGGAGGGCCCAACCCAGAACGTGCCAACTATCTCCGGACCATCGGTAAAGCTACTGATGAGCCAGGCTGGCTCAAGAAAATATGGCCTGGCCTACGCACCATAGTTGCCATCTCCAGTGGTCCCTTCATCACTGTGGTCCCTGAGGCAAGTCTTTTATACTCAGTGCAAACTAGCCTTCTGATATCCCTGCCATTTTCCCAAATTTCATCAGTGCCACCATTTCATTGGCCCAGACGTCGTTATGCAAACTTTGGGCATCAACTGCAGCGAGGCATTCTTGGCGCTTGCATATGATAGCCGTGACCCGAGCCTTTATAAGGTTGTAGGGTCGGACGAGATCATTGAATTCTTGAATGTTAATGAGCCTGAAGAAGCAAAGAGCTTGACACAGACGGTACGTTTTAGCTCTGCTTCATGCAGTTTACATACTGATGGTCATGATTTGGTGCATTTAGTGGAACGTCAAGTTGGGCGAGAAGTACGAGGTGATCTTGACTACAAGAGATGGATTCTGGCGATACCGCTTGAACGACGTGATTGAAGTCGTCGGGTTTGATCCTACCGATGGACAGCCCATTATACATTACCTTGAGGTGAGTTATTCCTGGTTCAATTTATGTTCACCTCCAAATATTAACTACTACTCCTCTTTCTCCCATCGAATCAAGCGACGAAAGTGAGTAAAAATCCCCACATCTTTCTATTGCACCATGCCAATCCATATTGTCCCTGTAGTGTGCACATCCGTTTAGCAAACGAAATCACGACTGAGAAACAGATTCAAGGAGCGATAGCTGCAGTCTCGGACTCTCTGGGCTACGTTTCTGAGCTCTGTGTCTCCCCAGACTATCGTCAGACCACTCCTCGCTATGCGTTCTACCTTGAATTGCAACATAGCCCTGGTTAGCCTTTCCCCTTCTCTTTCCTCGACGAATCAAACTTACTAATATACTCTCTCCCTCATTACCTGTTATCAGGATCCGACGCCGATCTCGCCCCAGCCAAAATGCACACCTACCTTCAAACGCACAACCAAAACTACCTCAAAGACAGTCAAGCCGGCAAAATAGGAGTGCCGAGTGTGCACATACTGCGCAGAGGGACGTTTGGGGAGTACAGGGAGTGGAAGGCGCAAGTGACGAACTCGGCATCAGGGCAGATCAAGGTGCCGCTTGTCATTTGGGACGAGGAGACAAGGCAGTGGTTGAGCAAGATGGTCGAAAAGGAGTTCTAGAGGTGGTGCTGTTGTGTGGGTCGATGCATGCATTTGCATTGCTTGAACTTTTTTACCTTGGCCTATTCGTTTATCTTTGGAAAAAATTTCGGTCACCTAAACAAGTACATTATACCAGAAGATTTTAGAAACATAAAACATATAGTATCTAACTATGTTATTATACTTTGTCTACCAGGAAATAACCCTAGTTTTGTCCAAAGTACAGTGGTGGTCAAAAAATATCGACTATAGCTGGTTTTTATACAACTACGATGGCGACTAGCATCAGTATTTGGTAAATGGCTAAAACCACAAGTGGAAGATTTGGAATCCGCATGTTAAGGAACGTTGACTGACATGATAAACATTGTATGCGTAAAGGTTTGAGTAGGGAGTAAAATCATGGAGAACTTGGAAGTCATGTAAGAAGAGAGTTGATTGCAATTTTTCATGAACGAGAGCAATTACAACGGGAATAATTAGAATATGACAAAACAGAACAGTGTACCCATGCTTCAGCTTGACCTACATAAACTGTCTAACACGTGCATATCCGACGATCAACAAAAAGATTTCATTGCGACAAAAGAAAAGGTAAACTAGAGGTGATATCAGTCACTAGTGTTACAAGGGTGTATCAAAAAAACCACTCACGAGATACGGGTACAACTTTCAAACTGTCACAGATGGAGACCACACGTTTGACGTTCAAACCAGGGCTTTTACCCCCTCCTCCCATTCTTCTCTCGGAAGGCTTCCGACAGCTCTACAGACAGGGCAAGATACCTCCACCTGTGGGTCTACTTTATCCTCCCCACCCCAGCCAGCGACACGCTCTGCACTGACCAGGCACGAAGGATGGAAAGTATGCGGGCACACGCTGGTACTACCCACAGGTGCACCCTCTTCTTCACTGTCCTTGAGCAAAGGATGGATCGCCACCTGCTTCATTAGCAACGCTGACAGTTCTGGGAAAGGATCTTCGTCAGATGGCCCTATGCCACAGCTCATATCGAAACACCGCAGTCCTGCCTCACGCTCTTTTTGTTCGACGCGCTGGCGAAGTGAAGGGCCAGGTGCGGAAGGGAGCGTCCATGTCTTCCGTTCACGACGTGGAGGCATCGGGCGTGTAGGACGAGGGAACGGGTTGAAAAAGGCTCCACCGTTGATATGAGCATGTGCTCGGGCTTGGGCATGCGCCTGAGCTTGTGCTTGTGCTCGCTGTTGAGCTTGTGTCCAAGCGTCTGCTTGCGTTTGAGACAAACGTCGGGGACGTGGAGGAGATTGGGGCTGAGTCTGAGTCTGAGGCTGAGGCTGAGGTTGAGAATCACTTGGGGCAGGTTGCGACCCAGGGGTTCCAGGAGCCTGCGCTTGGAAGGCAGGCCGGAATGGCATTGCTCCAGCAAAAAATGGAGGAGGGGCATGACCCTGCATACGCGTTACAATCGGGGGGCCAGTAGCCCGTCCATTGCGGAACAAACCTTCCACAAATGATCGGATCTCCTCCATCGAGGGTCCTCCAGCTGTTTCGTGAGGTGCATCAACAAACATGTCAACGCCGACGGTCACAAATTCACCTAATCGTCTCCCCTGGCGTGCACCATCGTCTGGAGCATTAGGGGCGTCTGGAGGAGGTTGAGCATTCTCTGTAGGATGTGGCTCTTCGGGAGCAGCTGGCATAGGCTGTTCCATAGCTGGGATTTCGAAAGCGTCTATTTCGACGTCTGCAGATTCATTTGGATGTTCTATTATATTTGTAATTTCCTCTGCCATACTCTCTATAGAAACGGGCGGGCTTTCCGAAGGGACAGCAGGGGCTGGTGCGGAATCAGTATTCGTTGGAACGACACCTGCATTTTGTACGTCTGCGTTGGCTACAGGAGCTGATTCGAGAGGAGCATCGTCAGCGACGGGTGCAGGTACAGATTCTGGCGCAAGTTCGGGTGCAGATTCTGACGTTGGAGGGGGGGCCGCCGCAGGCGCGGGTACGGGTCCTGCATTTGTTCGGCCAGGCATAAACTGGGCCGGCATCCCAGGCATATGGAACGGCCTTGGTGTATAAGTCAGATTCTCAGGGTCGATGTTAAATCTACATGTAGGGCAAGTTGCATTTCGGGCCCTAGAGAACCACGGCAGCAAACACGATGCGTGGAAGACGTGCGAGCAGGGAAGGACAATGATCTTGGGGTCATCAGACTCGGTGGGGATGTCGTTGGGAGATGAATCAGACGACTGCTGATCTGTAGATGATGACGAAGAGGGTTCGCTAGGAGCAGATGATACAGGAGGCTCTGCATCCATAGAATGCTCGCTAGCTTCCGCATCATCTGATTCGCTGTTCGCAGATGTATTTTGGTCAACATATGCCTGCTCTTCAGACGCCTGTCTCGGCCTAAATCCATCGCTCTCCGCGTCCAGAAGAGTATCCCAACAAATAGCACAACCAGGAGAATTAGAGTTGGAATCGTCGACAGTGCTGGCGTCGTCCACATGACCACCTGGTGCGCCACCTACCCTCTCCAGTCGCTTCACCAACCCTATCGGGACAACTTCCAGACCTGCAACGAGCTTCTTCGCACGGTCAGGGTCTTCCCTGTTATCATCACCAGCGCCCATCGCATGCATCTGTTGCAAGAAAGCTCCAAACGAGGCAACAAGCTCTTCCCGAGCACCTGGCTCGTCAAAGACAAAGTCGAAAGGGGGGGCTTGCCCGTTAGCGTTACCGCCAGGTGGACGAGTGGGGAAAGCGCGAGGGGGACCAGTAAGAGGTATGCTGAATGTGATTCCCGTGGTGAATATGGGGAATGCGCCCCCGCGATGAACACCAGGCTGACCGGGTTGGCCAGGTTGTGCATTAGCATTAGCATCTTGATTACCAGTAGTAGGATTCGAGGGGTCAACTTCAACGTTTTCTGGATTTGGATTGAAAGCAGGTAATTCATCAGGAAAGATGCCAACAAAGGGTTCTGGGAAAGGGTTCTGAGCACCGTCCGGCATGTTGAACAATCCATCTAAGATTCCCCCAAGGATAGGATGTTGGTGGTCGGCAGGACCAGTAAAAAAGGGTGGTTGCCATTGTTGGTGACCCGTGGGTGGATCTCCCTCTGGAGGATTGTCGACACGCTGAGAAGGATGCCGGCGGTCCCGAGCCTCATCACCGTCCTCTTCAACTCGAGCACGCCTGCTCCCAGCGATAGGTTCCAAGGGAGGAAGGTCGTCCTCATCTACCCATGTACTATCACGGTCATCATCGACAGGCTGGAGATCAGGCATCATTTCCACTTCGTGTGCTGACCCCTCAGATGAGCTAGATAGCGATTGCAGTTCTGGCATCGAGTCATAGCCATCGTCACGGCGAGAGCGAGTTGGGCGACGAGGGACAGCAAAGTCTTCAGCCATGGTGGCGTCCTCCTGGGTAGAAAGCGGATGCTCTGTGTGATGTGAGTGTGGCTCAGCGGAAGCGCCCTCATCCACTGGTGTCATTTCACGGTCAAGAACCTCAGCTACAGGCTGTCCGTTAGCAACGACAGCCGACGTCGCCTGCGACGAGGACGACGTACTATTTGCAGAGGTCCCAGCCTGTTGTTCCTGTGCAGCTTCATTGCTATGTACGTTGGAATGGGGGGAAATAATGTTGCGGAAGAAAGACTGGAGAGTAGCACCAATGTGAGGGGCGCCAAAGAAGTGAGCTCCAGCGTGGTGGTTCTGGTTGTTGTCGTTGTTATTATTGTTGTCCATGATAGCGTCGACGATGTTGGCAACGACGGCGCAGGAAAGATATGGACTTGTACGTTTGGAGATGGATGTAAGCAGATGAGGTCGACCTGGCAAAGGAGCTGTGGCTGAAATCGACTTAATTCGAATGACTAAGCAAATGACATCTTATGTACCCGCATCCACCAGAACATTCCTGTCCGGTCACCCCCGGGCTCGACCGTTCGAGTCCACCGATGCACAAAGAACTTTAGGCAAACCCGACCACCAGACAATAAGACACAATGCTCAACTACGAGAAGGGTAATAATGATATTAATAGCTGTGATCAGAAAGAGAACTACAGTGTATTGATTAGGCGGAACAATAGACATTTAAAGTGTTTAAACCATGGCCTCTTCATTGGGCCTTTACCTTGCCATTGCGTGCATGTTTACGAATGTATCTCCTCGCGCTTGGAACCCCAAACTGCATTGGACAGTCATCAGTGATCATATACGTATCGTCACGTAGAGAGGTTAAGTGAACTTACCCTGATCAAAGGATACGTGACTAATAACGCCCCACCTACGGTCCACGCCCATTTGATATGCCGTGGCAACGGTTCGGGATATTGGCCCTGGCTCCATTTCGTGATGACAAGCAGCTCAGTGAGAATGGTAGCAAGTAGGAGCCAGACGTGTTGACCCATCCGTACAGCTTTGCTGTGATAAGTTGTTAGCGGGCGGCACCGACCTCAAATACAGAGACATACCGCGGGTTATTAATATATTGATACAGTTCTCTCACAGCGGGTAAAGCACATAAAAATACCCCTGCAAGACGCATGATAATAATGGGATGATCGGGATCCATCCACAACAAGCTCTACGATAACCTCTCAGTCATAGGTCAATATTGGGCCAGATTGGAAGTTACCTTCAGATAGAATGGGTTCAACTCAGCCGCAAGAAATACGGCAAGCAGCAACACGACCGTAACATAATGTTGGAACGATGCTGTACCCTCCCATTTGAAGGCTGTCCAATCGTGTGGGGAGAATTGGCTCAAAACTCGTCGTGCCTTAGATCGTAGACCCCGTGTTTGCCTCAGGCCACGCCACTGATAAGGCTATAAAGGGTTTAGTGAGAGAGAGCACACAAACACAATTTGAAGGACGCTTGCCTCACCTTGACTTCGAGGTACTGGCAAGTTTTCATTCCTGTCGTACTTTATGAACTCCTTTCATCCCATTAATAGAAATCAGAAAGGATTACCCAGATATGTGCCAAGCCAATTACAGAGCAGGACATCGAGTATCCACTGCGTGCAATATGCTATCAATTTCAAATCGGCAAACTTATGAAATGACTGACATGATCCCACCAGCACTAGGAACCGGTAAGCTAAAGAAGGTGAAAGCACACTTCAGACATACCTCTGCAAAGTTTGGTAACTGGTGCTGCAAGCTATATTCAGCAAATTCAAATGCGATACTCAGGATCTTTGGCAATGGCATCATGAGTAACACTTAAAAATATACTTCATCCGCGGCCTAAAGACACTTACCCAACAGAACCAATAGTCCCGGAGGATCATGGCCTTGCCAAACCAGCCCAAAGCATGAGCAATGCAAAATATGTCAAGTGCACCCTTCGGCATTATGTTAGTTATGTATTTAGAAACCCGGGAGAAAAAGCACGAGGACGCACCCATATATTTTGGGAGGTCAGGTCGCAATTATCCGCGTAGCTTTTCTCTGGCAGTGGCACGTTTAGCGACGGGTCAAGGAGTGTCATCATTCCCCTAGCAGAATGCAAGTCCTGGAAAAGGAGAAACACAAGACCCAATTCATATAAAAGATTCACACCGAGCACTACCCGCCAGAACGCTGGGTGGGGTCGGATGAAAGGACCATCGCGAAACTGGATCATCGAAAACATAAGAAAGGAGACAGCAGCTGCATATGCGCCACTTGAGAAGAAAACTGCATAAGCCAAGGATCAATGCACAGATGAAGGGACATACACTCGGCGTTTATCCCGGCCCTCCTCTAGGACATCCTGGGTCATCGCGACATAAGCTAGGGCTCCCATGCCAAATGCCAACGCTGTGAGCGTGATTGGCTTATAGAAGAACCTTCCGTGGAACATACGTGAGCAAAACGACACCGGTTTGAACCATCAAACCCCTCACTCAATAGAAGTATCATGTATCTCTTGAAACGGTCTTATTCGTGTGTACGACTCCGTGCGGTCGGCCTTTCATTATCTTTCAGTTGACAGCAGCGCTGGGAAAGAATCCTACGTACATCATACCCTGTGATAGCATCAACTTGATACCTGCTGAATGGTGTGATGCGCTAAAGAATCAACTCACAACGAACTGGCACGCCGTTCAAGCCAGGAATAGGTTCAGGGTCGAATGGCGGTGAAAGCAACACGTCTGAATCATCTACCGGGGATGCTGGTGAAAGCTCCTCTCCTTCTGACATTGTTCTAGATAGCGTCTGTGGAATACAATAAGTGTGTGATGAGAACAAGGGTTGACATAGACCCAGTTGCAAGAGAAAGGACCTTGCGCACTCGCCTGACGGTGGCGGTGACGACCGCATATCAAAGCACGTGCGTCATGCGCGCACGGTCTCAGTCACGATCGTGATCACATTCACAAGTTGCAGCATATACGATCACCGTACATTTAAACTAACCGTCAACATGTTATCCAGTACCGCTACAAGACGGTTATCCCAGATAACCGGTCAAGCGGTAAATACGTACTACAACGCATACAGCGTATTGCCTACAGACGGGTGACAGAACAAACCATTGGACTCCGATGCTTTTTGACCCTAATCTCAAGCTCCTTGAGGCATTTGTGTGCTAGACCCGGCATTCATAGAACAAAACTGGGAACAAGATCAAGAGGCATCGAAGGTCCGAGGGAAACAGCTCAGGCCACGGAGGACAGGCAAGGATAGACTATGGCCTCACCATGCCAAAGCTTCGGATAGCTGCGATTGATGAGCCTTATTTGAGCGCCGTCAAAGAAGATAGAAGGAAAGATAAAGAAAAGGTCATGTTTGGGCGGAGACCTTGAGTTATTAGCAACGCCACGATGTCTCCACATCTCCTCAGCAACCCTCAATTATATCTTGTCGAGTTCCTTGTGCTCTTCTAGTTCTTCACCGGTCGTTATCTGGCCTTCTTGGCCTACTTTTATCGCGGCAGAGTCAGCGAGAGTTGTGCATGATCATCCTTCCAGGATGATTCTTGACGCGCTGATATATGGTGTGAATATAGATGGCTAAAACTAGACTTCAACATATCCTCTCAAGGATTCCACGTTGCAACTTACCGGCGGTCTAATATCAGAACTGTGTGTAGAACATTGTAATTTTGAGCTTAGTGCCCTTGATGCGCTTTTGATGGCATGTATGCTTCGAGTCAAAAAAAAATATAACTTGTTCGAACGTATATATTTGGACAATATTGATATTGATTATATGGGGAGAATGTACATGACCTGAAATCAATTCATAAGTCCCGGTAAATCAAGATACACTGATTGACAGCGGCATAGACGAACCTGTCGTAGTATGTACGTTGTGTGGTATAACCTTGTGACGCGGCATACAAAAGCACCACCAATAAAGTGACAGAACTTCGGCCGCAGCATGCACCACTTGGAGCACTGTTGTTACAGTATGACATTTGACAACGAGGGAATTCAAAGCTGGAGCTGAGAAGATAAATCAGGATGGACTCGGACTGAGATAAAACTTTTGACAGGCGACTTGCCTGAGCGCCACGATAACTAGACGTGTCATGCATGGACAATTCCTAATGAATGATATTGAATGATGGGGACTCTGCGCCAAAAACACATCGTGTAGGAAAATGACGGCTCGGAGGGGTAAAATGCCGTCGATACTAACCCGATCGATTCTGAGCGCTGAGCCTCCGCATCACGATCAAGGAGTCACTGGTAGGAGTAACTGCACAGACCCCCCACAATCTTCTTCTGTGTCGTGTTTCGTCGACATTATATCATCACGGCGTCGGGTCCTTTCGCCGACCTTTGACAGGTATGATATGGTACCAAGAAGGAGAGCAAGCTACTAGGACAAGGAAAGCGCTCGAAATGACTCCAATGTCCTAGCCGCACGGATACTTTCCCCATGATCCATTGAATACATTTTCATTTTGAACGGCTTTGCATATTCCTCGTAGAACGGATCCATAGAGCTGTCCACAAAGAAAACAAGCATCAAGAGTGCGAACGAGTCCAGCCACCCTCGCGGCAATCGCAAGCGCATAATGAAAATATTAGGTACACAAACAGTACCTGATGATGTCCGAAATGGTGGGTGTCGTATTTGGTTTATTCGTATTTTCTTTCTGTTTTTCTTTCTCTTTCCTGCCAGCTACTCCGACCGTGACACTACAGTGCGCAGCTGGACCCACCCACGTCTACCACCATCGCTGTGCCGGTCTGCAAACGTGTGCCCTTCTAGATCTGATGTGGCGCAATTGCCATCGATAATTCAATCACAGAACAGGGCAGGAACGGACAAAGTCGTGTCCTCCATCTTACGTACCGATGTCAACTGTTTTCTTTTCGTACACATCGCAGGTTTCCGTGCGTTCTGCTTCAAGATTGAGTGACAGTCACTGGCAAGGATCCAGGCATTGGGTGCACATCAAAGGCCGGGTAAGTCGAGTGTGTGGAAGCGGCACCGAGTAGCTGACACCGCTTTTGCAATGAGTCCATCGCGATGGATCGCATTATGGACCCCTGAACAGGGAGGATAACGCAAGGAGGAGTGTAGTGCGCCCATATTGGTGTCAATGATAAACGTGATGAAATAGATGCGCCCATTCATCGAGGACAGTTTATTTGGTACGAAATTCGCCGGTATATAACGCGTTATGTTGATCAACGTGGAGAGTTCATTCCCGTGACCGGTTTCTCACCAGAAGTCTTGCCAAAGGGGTTGTTTTACGTCGGTAGAGAATGATGGAGAGGAGGGCGCTCATATCTAATGCAGTCGTTCATTAGTCTAGAGCATAGAGACGTAGGTGGCGTGCGTCTTTCCTTTCTTGATTTCCAGAAAGTGGATTTACAAATATAGACTGATGGCCCATTCTGATCGCCGCCTGGATCACTCTTGGTTTCCATTACAGAGCTTCTCTTACTCCATATTCAAATCCAAGCTTACTCATCCATCTCCCCTGACTGCCGAGGAGAACTCTCTCTCTCTTTTAAGGTTTCACCTTCTCAAACGTGCTGAGCCTGCAAGTGGCGTCAACGCATCCCAGATCGTATAAGCTATCGTACGACCCACTCACATGCGACCCCTGCCGATGAGAATCTTTGGCTTTGCTTATGTTTTCAGATGATAACATGTGTATGTATAGTTATCATATTGCGCCTTCTTTCTTATACTTAGTCCCCCCCGTCGGTATAGGAGAAATATATGCCCACCTTTACCTACCCGCGCTTCACCGGATTTACAACATAACACCGGACCATCAATCAAGGCGACGCTACTGCTACTAGGATGGTTAGCACTGACTTTTCATAATGTCCAACGTGTTCAAACACTTTTTAAGATAACAAGCTCCAGGCCAATCGTGCCTGCGTCGTCTTACACCTATTAGCTACGTTTGCCTCCACTCTTACTGTACCAGGAATACGCTAGCTTACTCAGTGCTTACTCCGAGACACATAATCAAGGAACCATGATATAGCTACCGTCCAAAATGATCGACATGTTCCCCAATCTGATCAATCAGCTCAATGATGTGACTGTGGACTAGGTTGAGCATCGCCTACGATACTATGTCGATCCGCCCTGTCTCACGAACGGTCCCTGTGTACAGCGCGCCCCGGCAGAGCGCTCGTACAGGTCCGGAAGGCAATTTAGAATGTATGTAGCGAGTCCAAGTGGGTCACAGTTCCTTCGGTTCGGGTGTAAACTATCTCGTGAGTCAACTTATCAGATGTATCCTGGTGTTTCAAGCAGCGGGAAATCGCGCAGTCGAGTCCGTGCCCTCACTACGGAATTGTGCGCCTCCCTCTCGCATTGTGATTTACCCCCTTTTTGTGAATTTTTTTCTGGAAGCGGGACTGATGCAGTCCGCGTAACAGCAGTGTTAATAAAAGTGTTTTGCGAGTAGCGGTCAGGCATGTATCCCCATATTGTCCTCGGATCTGTCCTTGAGTGTTCGGCATCTGCCAGCTCCAGCCCCGGACGGCGCAGGGACGAAAATGGGTGCACCGCAGTTAGACTGGATCTCAGCGCGAAAATGGCGGCATTGAATTGAATGGTCGCGGAAGAATCCGTGGCGGTACAGCTAAAGAGATAAGATGAAGATGTCGAAGCACTGTCGAATCCTGGTGAAAAGAAGAGAATGCGAGTTGAATGGACGGATTCGAACGGTGTAGCTGTCAGAGGCATTTGTTTGTTCAGGAGACCTCCCGAAAACAAGAGCAAAGCATGGGAATAGAGGCGAGCAAGTTGGGAAGGGCCCCCCCGTGGGGACAGATTTAGTTGTTTGACGCGATTGGGAGTGTGACAGTGAAGAGTGCGAGTTGGATAACGATTGGTACGACATGAGTGTGGTGGTGGCCATGATGTTGTGGCTGGTGGGTATGTGCTAAACCTCGGAGATAGTTGTCGCGCTTCTGAGAGCAAGGATGTGAAGAACACGGTTCTTTGTTAGGATTATAGGCCGGCAGCTACAGTAAAGCCGGCCGGTCTTCATTGATGGCAGTTTGGTAATCGATCGGTCCGACGTCAGCCAGATAAAGTAGCAGATCAGGCCCGATGGGGTGGAAGGTTTGCGGCATTCGAACTTCAAACTCAACAGCGTTGATCCCACCCGACCATGACGGACGCTTTAGACATACGTGGAGTTGCTCACTATTCCTCCGATCTGGCAAACGATGGTGAGAGAAGGCAACACCGTCCCCTCGTGCCTTGCTCTCTCTGCGTGAACCGTATCCCATCGACATCCACCACCCCTTGTCCCATCCCATCGACATCCACCACCCCTTGTCCCATCCCATTCACTCCACCTCCAAACCCATCCAGAACTTCTCCTGCCTTTCTTTGGCCAGAAGGCCATTTGCCGAGAAGACTGCAACCTTACGGCTAGCCAGTCGCATCAATCAGCACAAAACGTAACCGAACAATTCTGCGCGGTCTTGCACCACCGTGCCGTCGGTCCCCATCATCGATGACCGTCCTGTGAACACCATCCCCCCCCTTTGTACTTGCACCCCCTACTTTTCATCTATACCATGTAACCAGGATGTACTCCCTCTTGGCAATCCACTTCCCGTGAACCATTTGCCTCCGCTTATGTTTTTTCCTTCTTGTGATCTCATCCTCGTATGCACTTGCCTTTTTCGCAGATTTCGCCCGCTTCTCCGGACGAAAAAATCAAGCAAGCGCGCACACCTATATATGGCGATACAATAACGCAACGTCGCGAGCGGCTGTATTCTCTTCCTCTGACGCTTAGGAAGGTAGCAGGTAGTGCACTCGGACATCTTGAAACTCAATCATCCTTGGCCTATGTCAGCTGCGGATCCCTCGCAGGTTCCATACTCGACGCTATGCACTGCAGACCATTTCTTCCACATGAGCACTGCCAGCCTGCACGAGGACAAGTGCCAACTGATCTTGACATTGTGTGCGCGCTGAGATTCAAAGACGGAGGCATTGTTGCGCCATGAACATGCTGTCTATCAGATTTCTAAGCTTGTTTCCAAGCGTGGCACTGCATTTCGAATTTAGGCTCTGTGGTCTCGAGTCATGACCTGACCAAGTAGCGTTTAGTGGCATCAAGGAGAGCAACCGTTTGATCCATGTGCAACCAGCTGGCCCCTCGCTGCTTGCAGAGCGAGCCATAATCTTTCTCTGCTCACACGTTATATTTATGTCACCGCCCAGACTGGGAAGCCATCCAGGGTCACACACAGCTATCCCCTGCCGGTTTTGTATTATGATTGGGAAGATGTAATTCGGACATGTACTTATAAGACTTGTATGTATCTACATACATATCTGTCAATGCCCGAGGTGATCTGGATCTCTCTGGTTACTTAATGGCGCCGTGAAGCACTTAAGACTAGCACCGTCTCTCCTCAGTCTCTTTCTTTCCTCGCATCGTATTCCACTTTCCTTCCAAAATGTCCACAGACTCTTTCCAGCCTCCCATCCAGCTCAAAGGCGAAATCATGGACCTCGACTTCACCGTAGACACCGACCACAGAAAGAGGAGACGCAATCGCACCACACAGTCCTGTCTCAACTGCCACACCTCAAAGCGCAAAGTAAGCCCGGCACACTCTCTAAAACTTTTCATCGCGTTGACTCTCCTCCAAGTGCGATAGAAAACGGCCTTGCCAGCGTTGCATTCAGCTCGGTCTGGTAAAACTTTTTTTGTTGACATATCCTCGGCCGAAATTCATCTCGGTATTCATCACAGACTGGCTTGTGCGTGTATGAGATAGATGACCCAGCGTTGAGGTAAGAGAATCTCTGCGTCTTTTGTTGACTCTTGTTGAGTGTTCTTTTGTTTGTCCAGGGACGATCCCTCTGTAGATGAAAATACCCGCCTTCGTAATAGAATCGCAGAATTAGAGAGCCTGGTTAGAGAATTACGGGGTACGTATTTCGTCACATCCCATTACCTATCTATCTATCTATCTATCTCATATTCATCATCCATGCACAGGCAAGCCTCATCCCCGCTGGGCTGATGCCAACTTTCGAGACGGCGACCCCTCCGAACGCTGGCACTCTCGAGCGGCAAAGAACAATATGTTAAAACGCCGGGGTCGTTCGCCAGATCAACCCCATGGCCAGCCCAACATGGAGGTTCGCGGTCTCGTCGCCGCCTCTGTCAAAACAGAACCACCAGCCGACATCTCCCAGCAACACCTCTACCGGTTCTCGCCTTCGCCTCCAATGTGCTACAGCGGTTTCCAGTCAGATAACTCGACCTCGCCAGTCTCGCCATACGAGCGTCAAACCTCGCAGCATCACTTTAGCAACGGGAGTGGCCCTTCGGGAGGGCGTTCCGCCATGACGTACTCGGCGCCTTCATATCCAAATCATCACAATGCCAGCTCAGCCTCGTTTTCAGATAATGGGAATGGTTTCTCTTTGAATGACGAGAGGGTGTTGTATGCCCACCACTTCACTGCAGATAACCCCCCAGCCCAGACCTTCTGCCCCTGCCGTACAAATCCTGCTGCTGGTCACGCCTTGATCTCACTGACACATCAACTACAAAATACGCTGAGCTCGTTGCGACAGTACACCCAACATCCCTCGAACACGCAGTGTCAGCTCTACAGGCGAATCGTCGAGCTGAACGACATGATGCAGTATGTCTCTCTTCAAACTGACGCAGCCGCATCAGCACATGAACTAATTTGTTTTTTGTGAGAATCAGTGGCAATGAGCTAGAAGAGGTAGCAGGGTCACCATACGGCACGCTTCCCACACCAACGGAAAGTGATATAATGTCTAGCCACTCGTCCTCTTCAAGTACCCCATTTCATGGATCCTCCGCTGGGGCTTCTGCTCCTGACTGGAACGCAATGACCTCCGCCGCCGGATATAACCCTTATTTCCCCATATCATCGGGTGAACAGAATTTGTATAGTAATGTCATCACATGAGCAGGTGATCCGCTGATCCTGGACACCTGCACTCATTCAGTTTAGCCACCGAAACCTTGGACGATTAGAGATTCCACGGAATATTCTATGTACATCACGCGGGCTGTGGTGGCCTCCGGGCTGCTTGTACTTTCTCTCCGTCCTGTCCTATAGAGTCGCATGTTATACATTGTATACTACACAAGTTTTTTTTGGCTGCTTAACTATCTATACACGGATTTGCTACATAGGTGTCCCACTACTAATTGACGGGTAGATCGAACCGGAAAACACGTTGTGATTGAGGATCAGACAGTGTTACTTTTTTCTCAGCGTCCTGTTTCCATCTGTCCCTTTCTACGAAAAGCACTTGGCCGTCTCTTTTCACTAATATCACAGTTGAAAGGCGAGTACCATAAAGGTCACGATGACCAATAGAGGCTGTTGGGTTGGAGACGATCGGTAGAGGATTGACCTGGATTGTGTTCCGCAACTCCGAACGCTGACGAGGCGCTTCTGGCGAAGTCCAGCTTGGGTTAACGTCTGAGTCAGAACGAGCAGCAGATAAAGCAACGCCTTGGCACTCACGTCAATAGGTCAAACAGTTCCTCGGTGAACTGATCTTCAGTCCTGTCTGGCATTGACGTTTCCAGTATAGCCTTCAGGGATCGGATGCCATGTTGGACTTTAGGCCATTCATTAGCTCCTTTGTCTTCGATGCCGTTCGACATCCCTCCGCAGTGCCTTTGGGAGCTTGATAGAGCATGGGAAGTGATGAATCCGCCAGCACCGCGATTAGTGACATACGTGCCATCAAAGGACAGGGGCCGTTGATTAGAAGGTCAACAAGCTCTTCTCACAGCCACGCACTCGTGTCCTCGACGTTGCAAGTTACATGCGGTCTTGCGGCACAATGGCGTCTTGCAGGTGCTTTGGGGAATCAGACGTAAGAAATGAAGAAACGAGGTGACCCCTTGATGAAGTGAACTTTGCCAGCGGTTCTGTGATATTGGTCCTGTGAAAGAGGAGAAAAAAATTTGTATGGGCCTGGTCCTTGATGTGAGATTTTGCGCCTTTCAGAAAAAGACTTACAAAACTGCTATCTTCCCGGTCCGGCTGAGACCCAACCATGTTCCCCCGGCAAGAACGTCAATGCCTGACAAAATGGCCCCCTCTCCACGGCTGATACTTGAAGACGTGTGGCCGAATGAATGGAAGTGGGCTTCTTTCGTGGGTCTGGATAGATATTCATCGCGATTCGTGCACAGGATGCTTTTGATCGATCACCATCAACGTTTTTTTCTCGAAATCTTGCACGGATAAGAAAGGTATGCATACAGAGAATAGTCCGGATGCTCAAGGGTCCATAAAGCAACGCACATGTTCTACCTAGCGCTGAGTACTTGCACGAAACACGATGCTGGGGAGATCAATGAAAGATGTAGATTTGAATATGTGGGATTCAGAAGAGCTGAATGCACACGCCGTCTGGGATATGACTAAAAAGTCCAGGTACATGAAGGGGATTGCTGTAAAGATCAGACTCACAATTATGGTCTGCTGTGCGTGAAGACCGCTTAGAGTCAGACTCGAGACCGCTGGGATATGTTTAGTACATACTCAGACGGCAAAATGCGAACGCCAGGCAATACAATTTGCAGCTTATTCGACGCCTGAGAGTGCAAAGATAGGGATTTTCAGTTATTCTAGATTAGCCAGAGACAAGCACCCTGCAGTGTTTGCTTGGTTATTGGGAAGAAACGAGGCAAGACGACTGGGCTGGGTGGCTGAAGAGGTTCTCACGCCCCCTTGTCCCTAGCCTTACACCGTATTGAGCCTTTATCTGCTTCTTGGAGAAAGAACACCCAGCTTGGACTCAGAACCTTGTGTGTCTGATTCGCGAACAGGATCGAGGCAGCAAGAGAAACGAAGAACACAAATGAAACCCGCTTCCATAGTTGTTATAGACAATGGAGCCTCCACGATAAAAGCAGGTGTGGCGAGCGACGCGGCGAAGCCTGAGGAAGTCAGGTGAGTACGGAACCTATGTAAGATAATCATTGATTGACATGAGTTATTGCCAGAATAATTCCCAATGCTATCGTCCGTTCAAAAGGTGACAAGACCACCTATTTTGGCCACGAACTGGAACGCTGTCGCGATTACTCCTCTCTTCATTATCGCTTACCCTTCGAAAAGGTTCGTCTTCTGCATATCTGTCTATCACCGAGGAGCACTCACGTTTGTTCAAGTGCTACAGGGTTACCTTGTAGACTGGGATGCACAGAAGGCCGTGTGGGATGGCATCTTCTCCTCCCAAGTCTTAGGAGTGCGATGGCCTTATCTGTCACTCTTGTCTGTTCGCTTAACGAGATTTTTAGGTAAACACGCCGGAAAACTCGCTCCTTATTACAGAGCCCTACTTCAATTTACCCAACATTCAAGATGTCTACGATCAATTCATCTTTGAAGAGTATGAATTCCATTCGTACCATCGGTGTACACGTGGGTTTTGAGTTGTTATCACTAATCTACGAGTTACCAAAATGCTTCCTTTAGCTGCTTCGCTGATCCCTCATGGCCAGCTCTTTTTATCCGACACCAATCCCCCAGCAGAATGCACGCTGGTTGTGGACTCGGGATTCAGTTTTACCCACGTCATCCCCATTATCAATCATCGAATACAGTGGTATGCCATAAAAAGGTATGGCCCGATCTTTTGTTCTGGAAGTCCGTTCGAAATGAATTAACACCGATGCAATGCGGACCAGATTAGACGTTGGAGGAAAATTACTCACTAACCAGCTGAAAGAGCTCGTATCTTACCGCCAATGGAATATGATGGACGAAACTTACATCATGAACCATGTGAAAGAGTCATGTTGTTTCGTTTCAAGCAGCTTCTCGCAAGATTTGGAGATGTGCCGGTAAGTCCTCGTTCACCGGTTGAACTTCTCCCGGTTTATTCTGAGCTTTCCTATCTACAGTCTAAAGCCAAAACGGAATCCGATAGTCCAAGAGTACATTCTACCAGACTTCTCTAGTAACCGAAAGGGGCGTGTCCGCCAGCCCCATGATACTGTCTCTGAATCAGACCAAATTCTTTTCATGGAGAACGAGCGTTTTTCGATTCCAGAATTGATCTTTCGCCCCGACGACATCGGTAGGTCTCAAACCAACACTGCGCGTTGGTCCCGTGCCCATTGTCCGTAATGCGCTAACCGAAGTTCAGGTTTGGATCAATCAGGGCTGGCACTAACCATTGCGGCATCCATCTCGCTTTTGCCACAAGACCTTCAAGGCATGTTTTGGGCAAACATCGGCTTGATCGGTGGCAATACATTATTTCCAGGTTTTCATGCTAGACTGTGGGTCTTACCTCTGATTATGCATTTCTAAAAATAGTGATGACGCCTTAGGTTGTCTGAGCTACGATCGCTTGCCCCACTGGACTTTGATGTTGCCATCTATCAGTGCGATAAGTAAGTTTTGCCAGCAGTGCTGCTCTCTTTAGGCGCCATTTATTCATGATTTACTGTACCATTAGCCCCATTACTGAAGCTTACCATTCTGCCGTCAACTTTGCCCGTCAGCCCGACTTTTTTGACCATGTCGTTACCCGAGCGGAATATCTGGAAAGTGGGAGCAGTGCGTCTCGAAGAAAGTTTCCAGATTGGCAGGTAGATGAGAAAGACAAGGGGAAGGAAAAAGGTAAAGAAAACGAAGATCAACTTGAAGACAGACCTCAGGCGAACAAAAAAGCTCGAACGAAGCCTCGCACGTTCTCAACCGTTCGACGTCGATGAATGACGGTTTTCATTTGCTTTCACTACGTCACAGTCCACTTACGTTCAATTCAAAGACCTATACTGTGATGTCTTGTTTTAGTCAGGTCCCTTCGCCAATGCTACATATTTGTACTCGTGTGGTAAAGCCTCAGGCATACTCTTTATCTGTGATTAGATATCATGACGGTGCCGATGATTTCCGACCACTTTATCCTTCGGCCCTTTAACAAACAACGGGGGCCTCCAGGGTTTTGACTCTACACATAAACCGCTTCCCATTACCCGTCTCCTTACGCGACACCGCCGAGTTACTGTGCTCGATCTTTACCCATTTATCGCTCGCCTTCGCGATATCCCTCAGCGATGCTAGATTTAAAATGAAATATCAATCCCCTGAAAGGTACTTTTAGCGGCGTCTAGTATTTTTCACTCACGTTTCAAGAAAACCAATCTCGTTAGCTAGCTCCAACGGCTCCCTATCCTCGCCGCTAGTTCTAATGTCGAGCCAAACCTCGGCAGGCACAGCGAACGATGCGATTCCAATGTTGGATGGAGATCGATCCACTTCATTTGCGTTTGCCGCCGAACGATCGAACAGGTCATGATCACCCCCCGCCCTATCTTCAAATCGGGAAAAATCATCATGTTCTAGCTCGAAGACCAGAGAGGAAGCATGTATCTGTTCAATCCGCAATCGAACTCCGAACGTCGTCCATTGCTTGTAGTCCATCCACGGGAATAACAATGAGGTGCGCAGCATGGAGTCTTGCAGCTCTGGGACACTGACAGGGGATATCGGAAGCCAGTGCAAATCTGATGGATGAGGTGGCGCAATCTTTGTCGCAAAATTGACTATCAATTCGTTTACAATTTGTCCGTCTTCATCGCCTTCGTAGACGTGAGATGCAGTAACAAGCCCAAGATAGCGTCCTGGGGTGAATTCCCTGATCGCTCTTTGCGCCCTGGAATCTTTCTCCAACGAGGCCTCTAGTTGTCCCGTATCAAGTGCGAAAGCTACATATGTCCCAGGCCATATCTTCAGACGTTTCTGGCAAGAGGGAGATGTGTCACCGTCATTTGAGGCCGGTATATCTGACGACAAATTGCCTATCAAGCTTGGCCGCCGGGAAAGACAGAAGCTCCTAAAGTTAGAAGAGCTCGGGAAACCCGGACTGTTTGGCGGCGAGAATGTTGGAGAAAGCGGTGACAATGGATGAAGGCTGGTTTGATGATCCATGGTTCTTTGATTTATTTGATCTTGCGCTGCACATCTTTATGCAATAGTTATTGGTCAAAGCGTTTTGTTTAACTGTGAAAAAGGCCAAAGCGCACACGGGTGGCCGACAGGTCACCGCTTCTTCGCGATAGTGCCGTCCAATTGTTTTGATTCTGTGTCTTGTTCTGCGTTATCTCCTGTGGCTTTGTCGCCTCTATATGGAAAAGCCCTGAGACGCTTGAACTTTAAGTACTCGATCTTTGTTCAGCGCTGCGCCCTTGTTAACTGTCAAATATCATCATCATATCGGCCAATAATACGCTACTCGCAATATTCATACTCCAGACCAGTGCAGTACTGGTGATACTAATACTTGAAGCCATTACTCCTTTTCCGAATACTCGCTCACATTCAACAAAACAATCAGGATGCTAACGTCTATATCCTAGATATGCAACACGCAAAGGCTGGAACATCAATGGCCAATGTTTACAACCCTATCAAAAGGCGATTTCGGGGCTACGGTCTTTCGTTCTATTTTACTATTGATAACACAAAAGATAAGTATCAACCTAACCCATCATTGATATCGTGTTTCAGAGCTCCTCCTATAGTAGCTGGACAGACAACTTTTGAGACATCCGGTAACTCTCATTCAAACTCGAATACGAGAATCACGGGGATAAAGGAATAAAAAAACAAAGGCGTGAATGAACCGTAACCGGAACGTTAGATTTGGGCCTCGTCTGCTGCTGACTGACTCTCTGCTATCCGCATGACCTCCATGAGCAATGTTTGCTGTTCAACATTAAGACCTGTGGTAGCGGCCTGATATATTGGACCGTTTTGCATTTGGAATGCTATAGAAGTGATGTGAACAGACTTATCACGGATCGAACAGATATAGACTCACTAGTTAGGGCTTGCTTGAAAGAGACGTAGGGGTTCACAACATCAAGGGGACTAAAGTAGCCAAGCTCCTCATCAATTTCAGATTCCTCAGACGATACTGAGAGATCATCTCCGTCAGCAAGTCTATCCGACTTGGCCCTGAGACGTGCACCCTATGAGTGAATGTAAGCATATGTACGGCTTTGGCGTGACAGTGTATTTGTACCTCTTTCGCAAGCATTTCGAGGTATGCTGAATCTTCATCCCACACGTCCTCTATAAATATTCGTTAGCACTCGAAGGTACCTGTGGAGAAAGTGGATGTTACCATCTTCTCCCTCGAGATTGAGGAACTTAGCATCTTCCTCGTCATCATCGTCAGATTCTTCTTGGAAGGAATCCTCCAGCGCCTTGCGTTCTAGCGGAATCGATCTTGGTCAGATAACCCTAGGCGACAACCCGCAGGAACGTACTTTCTATAGCCTGAGGAAGATCTTTGAATATTTTCAATGCTCCACCGACAATACCAGGCCAGCCATCTCTTAGGACTTCAGGTATCCTGGACGAGTCGAGTTCCATCAAAGCGCAAAGCGCTAAGATGCTAAGCTTCTTATCGTGGACACGAGGCAGGCGGCTGTCGCTGTTGATAGCCACAAACCAATTATCGAAGAATATGCGAGACGTTCCAGGTTTGCTAGTTTCCATCAAGTGCAGCGCCGCGGAAGCATTGTAGAGGACAGCGTTGACGAGCACTTCGAGATTAGCGAGTCTGAAAGATGCCGTCTCTCCCTGATCCAAGCAACCTAATGCAATCGTAATGAATTCTTGCAAGTGCTGCACAGGGAAATGAGCAACAGTCCGAGAAGGTTATAGCGACTCTTACCTCATCCACTTGGCCTCGAAGGTTCAAAAGGATGGACTCGGCGAGCTTACAGCCGTTAACTCTGTCATTCTCGCCCAACTGCGTGCTGACTATGGATGTGCGATAAATATCAATGGCCTTCTGCCTGTAGTCCGCACGGGACTTAAAGACATCAGTTCCGTAAGAAACGAAGTTGTCCAAAGTAGGAAGCATTTCTAATCAGAATTGTGAGAAAAATGTGTCGTTACTAAAGAATAATCATACCATCCAGAAAATCAACGGCATCGGATTTGAATAGGTCGTACGTGAGTTCAAACACGGGCCACATATTTGGTGAGATGCTGTGAAGTTTGAATGTGAGACTATCCACCAAGTCATACATGTTGTCGAACAGGTCTATATTTTGTGTGCGCAGATGAGATATCAAAAAATTTGGTGGCCTACAAGAAAAACATACCCAGAATTTTGTGCTCCAGTGTAAATCTGATGATGGGGATAATGATCTCCTGAATCTGAGATAAGATTTCTGAGGAAGACTCGACAGAGGCAACAATCTGTGTGACAAGTAACCCTGAGTTCAATGCATTGTATACGATATTTACTTTGACATACCGTTCCGATGGTCTTAGCGACTCCCATAGCTCCATAGATCTTCCCATCATCGGCATCAGACAAGAGAGAATCTGAATCAAGAGTTTGTGGGTCAATTTCTTCTTGCGAAATACTTTCTCTAGCAAGGCGCAAGTAGGAGTCACACTGAGCAGAGTGATTAGTAGTACAACCACTGAGTGGGTGAAGATACACACCAATCGGGCAGTTAATTGAGCTGCCACAGGGAGTAACTCGGACTGGAAACGCTCGACCATGGTCTCCATGCAATTGTTAAGAATGTCGAGATCCGTCTCATCGGACAGCTTAAGCAAATCTGTTTTATGTCAGCTGATTGATTGTACTATCGCTACATTGATTGTACTGCACACCTTGTATAACCTTGCCAACCTGTGGCGCAACTGCTTCTTTAACTGGATAAATGATCAATATATCCTTCATGGGTCAGAGGGCGTTGAAACATACCAGATTCGTGAATTACAATCATCTCAGTCAGAGCAAGAGCAGCCTGGACTCTAACAGGTAACTCTGGATCATCCAGAGCCATTGCCACGGCTCTCGAGTGGTTGTTCAGATTCTAATACACCCTTATGTCAGTGCAAAGAGATATGTAGACATCAATTTGAATCATTACCTCCTCATTTGACCAGAGAAGACCAGCTTTGACTACAGTGCCTAACACTTCGCACGCCTTATGTTCTAGAAGTCAGATTTTCAGACATTGGATATATAGAGTCTACGCACGATAGCCCTGAGGTAAGGTTCAGGGGCAGAGAATTCAGGCAAAACGTGTTGTAACATGAATTGTTCCATATTGTCCTTGACTTCCGGGTGACGCATGATGAACGGACCAAGTGCAGCAGTCATGTTCAGAGCACCAAATCTCTGAGCCGGTGCCGCACCCCTGTTGACCACTAAGTTCTAATCAAGAGCAGATATTTGGATAGCTTACGAGCGTAGCACTGTGTTGACAAAACCGAGGATGGGCATAAATGTTGTTTTGGTTCTGTTGCTAGAAAGCGAGAACAAGAATGAAGTCGCAGCAGAAACCGGCGAGGAGAAGTTTTCGTATTCGTCTATGGCGAATGATTATCAGACGTCTAGCGATCACACTCGGCAAGTACATACCGACTGATGTGCGAATGTATTCGACAGGATCGTTCTCCCAAAGCTGTTGCTTTGAAGAATTGAAAGAGAGTTGAGGGAATACAAAGCTCGATACAAGCGTCTCGAAATGAGGCTTCAAAAGAGTCCAAGTTGTCTTGGGCTTTACACTACAGCACGAATAACTGTAAGAAAAAAGCGCATCATCGCTTTATGACAGACAGGAACTAACCATTCAGTAAAGAACTGGAAGATCTGGTATTGACATTTCTTGGATAGCCATGCTTGCCCAGAAACGTAGAGCTCCACTTGCTGAAGGTAAACTTTGAAAATTTCGGGAGCAAAAGTAGTGACAAAGTGTGTGGCGAAAGGGCCATACTCTTCCTGCATAGGAGTAGGCAACTGAGAAGGATTTCCAAATCTAAACTATGGTCAAGCCTGAATCTTAACATAGTGAATACTGGACTAACCTGTGAAACAGACGACCAAGAATACCGTATGCCCACTTCTTCGCCTTCCACCATTCACTACGTTCGCGATCTTCTTCATCCCCAGGTACAACCTCTTTTGGAATTTGAAGGTTAACGACTTGGAAGAGCAATCTTCCCCAGGGCACAAGACTTTCACCACTCTGCTGGTGAGTGCTCAAGTTAACGATGATACTACTCTTATAAGTTTTTAGGATAAGATGGAGCATAGTTGGGATCTCTTGTGATGTAGAGGGAGGTGTGTTCATCATTCCCGAGGCGATGTGAACCAAGGTAGGCATCAACTGCTCTACTATTGATGGTAAGATATCCTGCTTTTGACGGAATCTAGAGGTATGTTAAGACGAGAGCGAGAGCGAGAAAACATGGACGGATAACTGACCTGAATGCTCGAACGATCTCTAATGCAGCAACGCATCCTGCGCCGACCTCACGAATGTCTCCACTGAGTAACAGCCCCTTTACTTCGTCTAAAAGCCCAGGCCACCTGTCGGGGACATCATGAGCAACGAGATTCTTCAGAGTGCTGGCCAACTGGACGGTAATGCTCCTGGAAGGAGATGCCGCAAGCAAGCGCAAGATCGATGATTTTAATGCATCACGATCAGATGGAGCAATGGGGAGTTGGTCAGGTCGAGGCCTGGATGGATCGATAATGTATGAAGTTTGAACGCGATTTTTAATAAAGACAGAGCAAGCTTGGCGGATGGCGCTGGAATGAACCCAACAAAAACGCTATTAAGCTATGAAAGCGATCAAAACGCGTCGGACACGTACAGATCTACGCTATCACTGGCTATAATTTGGAGGAGTGCAGTGACCACGCCTTCTTGGCCACTGATCTGATCATTCATCGATGAGTAAAGCGATAAATCAGATCTCTGAAAAAGAGGCCATACCTTGCGGATTTGGAGCTCACCAGCCTTCTGAACGTTGGGATCAGGATTGTAGGTCGTTGCGAACAGATTAGACAAGGATTGGAGATCCATCTGTAGGATATGTCAGTCGTGTATTGGATCAGGTTATCACTAGTATATATGGCGACTTGCCTCGGTCAAATTTCAGACAAAGGCTTACAGCAAAAACGGTCGTGATAGGTCGTACAAAGAAGAAAGTGAGAAGGGGCACTCAAAATTTAAACAAGGCAGTGGCAATTTAATACACGCCGAACCGCGTCTAACACGGTTCAATCAGATTACAGCAACTGATAGTAAAGTTTTGACACATGCATTATTTTCAGGAAATCATGTTTGCCACGATTATTTCATTTAATATACATTACATGATTATCAGATTCTGTCGCAAGTACTTACAGCGGATTAAAGCCTAATAAGGTGGGAGCGAGTGGAGGCAGAATAAGAGCACAGCCTGGCAACTACAACAACTAACGTATTTCGAATCCCAAAGCTCGATGCCTCATGCCAGAAGCAGTCATGAATGAGCAACACACAAACGAGGTCACACCTCATGCCGATCCAAAGCAGAAGACACCGGTAACAGTTGTCCAAGTCTGAAATATAATATATGCATCGATACGTGACAACAATGCAATGTCTAGTTAGTATCCAAAAGGTATCTCCACATTCCAAATAAGACGTTGACCACAAAGCCAGCCATGATACCTATTTGCATTCTCCGTCTAATCGGCCCGTTAGCATGAGCCGGTAAGAGAACGGCCATACTCACGAAAATACGACACTTTCCGTAGCGTCCTGTTCACTTCCGTCCTCCCAAAACACGGCAGGCTTTGGTTCATCACGTAAAAAGAAAAAGGGTATAATTGGAAAGAAAAAGCCAAGAATGATGCCTTTCAATATCAAAGACTGAGATGAGGAAGAATCAGACAGAGACGCTGTCCCAGCATTGTCCATTGAATCGATCCACTGTTCTTCAAGAGCTCGCGCATGCTCGTCGTCTGTATTTAAAGACAATATGAGCATAAACCAATCACTGTTCACAAATAAGACTCACACTCCTCTTCGGATTGAAAGTCAACGTCGAGGAAATTCGACGAGGAGTGGCTATGAAATTGACGCCGAAAGTTTGCAATATCCTCTTGTGAGAATCCCGCTGTTGACAAGCGGTCAAAGCCTCTTAGTGGTTGTAGTTGTGCTGTCTGCATAACATTGATATAAGTCCATAATATATTTAGAGTCTACGAAATGCTCACCTGCAGCTTCTCTTCAGTTTCAGTTCCAGGTTCGACTATAGGACCAACGGAACAATGCAACCATGTAGTAAAACTGTTTGCTGGAGCCGCCCCTCCTGCATTATTTGTATCACCCAAATTAGCACGATTCTGCCTTTCCTCTAGCGTCGTTAACCAGGAATATAGTAATGTGCCATCCGTCAGCAGTCGTCCAGCATGGATGAGCCTCAATCGGCGGTCTTGCAGTTGAGGTCTAGCGTCTGCAATCTGTTATAAGAGTCACTGAATGCTGTGAGTGGAAGACGGAATCAACGTGCATTTTTCTTCACGTCTCGAATGGTATCCTTTGCAGAGACTTTCAGAACAAGATCAGGTATACCTTCAGTGAAACGTATGGTCAGGTCGCGAGCCTCTTCAGCGGCGGGAAGTGTTGCTGCTGGTCCTAATTCTACGGCTCGCTGTTTTCCCTTTGCTTTTTCGCTGAGCATGGCAGTGAAAATAAAAGAAAGGTGGTACCTTCTCACTGGTGTACATACTGGTCAGCGCCAACGTCAGGAATGGCCATTACACACATTGTGGCGTGGGAATAGCAGCTTGCCTACTGTTTGCGCTGCCGCCCTTCCAGTGACTTTATCTTCTACTGCTGCAGCCATTGCAAGGCCATCTATCAGTCCCGTATCCTCAACCTTTTAACTTCACACCCCTGTATTATTTGTCAAAATGCCTCGCGCAGAAGGTAAGAACTCATGTGTATACACCTAGTATCGATGACTAATTCTTTTGTCAGTCGGAACTCCCAAATACTTGGCCAACAAGATGAAATCAAAGGGCCTGCAGCGTCTTCGATGGTACTGTCAAGTCTGCGAGAAACAATGTCGAGATGAAAACGGTTTCAAATGTCACGCAGCTTCTGAAGCCCATCTCCGGCAGATGCTGGTCGTTGGGGAGAATGCAGGACGACACATCGCCGACTTCTCGAGCCAGTTTCAGCACGAATTCGTAACTCTCTTGTCTCGACGGTAAGCATTTCTCTCACCATTCTATATCGCATGTCTGATATCAATAACCCGCTGGTTAGCTTTGGGACGAAGCGAGTGAGAGCTAACCAAGTGTACCAAGAATTCATCGCAGACAAGCACCATCTACACATGAATGCAACTCGCTGGATCACCTTGACGGAATTCATAAAGTACCTTGGGAGAGCAGGCATAGCCAAAGTAGATGAGACAGAAAAAGGGTGGTTTGTGGCTTGGATCGACAGTAGTCCTCAGGCGCTCGCTAAACAAGAGGCGTCGATGAAGAAGGATCGAGCGACAACTTCAGATGAGCAGCGCGAGCGTATGCTTATAGCAGAGCAGATCGAGCGTGCGGCTACAAATAACGAAAGTTCGCCATCTGCTAGTCCTCCAGCGGAGGAGGCGGGACTCAAGAGAGATGAGGGTGCAGAGAAAGTCGTGTTATCGTTATCTATGAAACCTCCCGCAACTGAACCTTCGTCCACGCCATCTGTTGTATCAATAGGATTGAAAGCCAATCCGTTGAAAGCCGCTTCTAATCCACTAAAGATGGGCTCGAATCCACTGAAAGCGAACCCACTTAAACGGACAAATGTGTTCAAAACGGCTGCGTCGACGAAAAACTCCGATGGCATTGAGAATGCGAATGGAAAGCGGGCGGCACCCATGAGTGCTGCAGAAAGACTAATAATAGAAGAGCAACAGAGAAAGCGCAGAAGAATGGATCGGGAGAGTGTCGTATGAATGTGTATCGATAGGATTATACTGCGGATGGTAACTTGTATTGTAATATGTTTGTGTTCCCTTTTACTCGATTATTTTTATTGACGCTTTTTGCAAACGCGGCCCTCTCAGTTATCACCCATTTCTGTATTACATTACAGGAATATACAGAATCCTCTTCCACACCACTCTGAGGAAGTAGTAACTTTTTTCTTTCTCGTCTCCCCACTCAAAAATTCCTCCTCGCTCAATAAATGTTTCTGTCCCCCAGCCAGCATCTTCCAGTGCATCATCAGCGCCGACATCAAGACTACTCCTTCCTGGAATTTTCTTGTCACCTTGTCAATTCAATAACCTAAATAGATGCATTCAGAGTAAGAAGAAACAGTATTCATCAAGACGAACTTTCAACAAACCTCATCTTCTCGTCTAAAAGTAGATAAGATTTTTCCATTGCCATGTTAATTTCTGGGACGAAACGTCCCGCCTGCTTTTGCCTTTCATGTCTGTCAAGGAAGCTTGAAACTGTTCGGGGGTAATAACAAGATCGTTCGCGTTTCTAAGTGCATTTGGCCTGGTCCCCCTCTAGCAACAACACATCCCAGTTATACCGAACGACCACGGTGTTCAACTTGAACCGAATATCATAATCGCGACACCACTCTGCCAACTGAAACGCCTTGCACGTATGCACACCCTTACCATTCTCGTTCCTCCCAATCCTGAAGTTGGCGTCGTCGTCAAACGAATCGCAGGATACACCCATGATGTTGAGGTACTGTTCATACTTCTGTATCCAGTCAAGCCTCACTTTTGACCCGTTACAGATAATCCCCTCCCAGTCGACTCCTGCTGCAGGTCCTATTTACAGAACTTCATGACCTTGCCAATAAAGCTTGCAGCGAGGAACGGTTCGCCACCTGAGATGCCGATCTTTTTAATCCCTGCATCAGCGAGCAGCCGTAGGCCCCTTTGGTCTCTTCGAGGACGACTGTTTTGTACAAGGCGTCGATGTGAAAACAGAATTGACATGCGTAGTTGCATTTGCGATGCGAGAAATAGTTCACGGAAACTGGAATCTGCTTGCCGGACGGATAGCGTCACGACGGGTATGCGAATGGACATGGCCTGAAATTTAGATTCAGCAAGAGACTCGCGGGGACTTGGAGGTTCACTGTATTGATGCTGCGCTTGTATATCTAGGGGGCGTGAGACTAGTACTGTGCCAGTGATGCGCCGATTTGAGGCTTGGGCGCTGTGTACTGCTGCTGGTGATTATCGCTGTACAAGACTCACCAGTATTCCATGGGTGCTAGCGAGGGTCTTTTATGAAGCTTTTGATGATGAAGAACCATCTCGACAAAGACTCAGCTAACGCCAGTGAAATATACGTAAATGACGAGTGTTCGGTCATGCGCGGCGTAGCATGTGGGCACATACACAACCTAAGATTTGAAGAGGTTCTAAGCCATTACATCACCGACACAATTACTTACAACGCATCTCTGTTACATTGTAGTCTCCCCAGGACCAGTCAGACCAAATCATCGATATGACAGTCGATAGTTACGCTGTCAGAGCTTGCCAGAGCGACAAAGATGTTCTGGGGATTTTATAATACCCGTGTACACATCAACCAAAATCGACTGGTCATGTCATTCGCATCTACCTCTGGGTCTTATGGTGCCACGTTAAGATTACTAGCGCTGACATACATAGAATTTAGTGGAGAATTTCTCTAAACACTGCACTAAACTTGCAGTAGTCGGAAAGCACACACGAAAACATAAAATCCAAGCAGTTCGTGTTCTAATACTGACCAATCCGACTCTGATCGGGTAAGATACAATGTCACAACGGGAAACGAAAAGTATTGTAGGGAGTCAACCCGTAGATCCTCCTCAGAACTGAAAATTGGGTAGGTGTGTACAGAAACAGGTGGTGAGGAAGAATACAAAGACAAGCACAGGTCACACAGGTCAGGTGAGAACGATAACACGCGGGGTGCGAAAACAAGGGAGTAAAGTGTTTAACAGCACATCTCGCATGGGCAGCCTGTACAGTCACCAAAATAGTCAGTACGAACTCTACGTTGGTGAGAATGGAGCTACGTACAGATGATGTCAGCGCAGCACTCGCAGCAGTCCTAGAAGAAGAAAGACAGATTATTAGTTTGAACAATCAGTCAAGGTGGTCCTGGCGCTTTACCTTGCAACACTCTGTAAAAAAAGGTATTAATTACCGTGAGCGAATAACGAACGAAAATTGCTCACCGAAGCAAAGGAAGCACTCGAGAGCGCCAAGGAAGCAGTCCTGCACAGCAGAATATTGGTCAATGGCTGTTAGTGTCTCCCTGCTGCTCTTACACGCACCTTAGCAGCTCCTCCTCCACGGAGACGGCTGGCCTTGTGTTCTTGGTGGTTTTGGGTGTTGTTAGCGGGTGCAGGGTTCATGACACCTGCAAGAAAGGTCAGCAACGGAGCTTGAAAGCGACGAAAGCGTAGCGTACTCATTTGAACGGCAGCTTGGGGCTGGTTAGTGGTGGCTTTAGCAGTGGCTTCCATTGTGAGTGAGGAGAATGAGGTGGTCGTGAAGAAGGGGGTAGTAAAAAAACAGGAAAAGGTTTAGGGATATGGAGAATCTGGTTTCGGTTGTGTTCTTTATATGGCGCGCCTGCCGTCATTTACGCGGAAAGAACCACGGCACGTGCAAGGTGGATGATGTCAATATATGCATATATGCAGGTGCGCCACAGCCTCTGCTCAGCCTGGAGCACCGGCTTGATGGGCATGTGCCACTTCCCCGCTCAAGGCGATTCAGATAACAGGTCCACATCCAGCTGCGCACGATGACGGCGACGAGAGGAACAGAGGACACCCGCGCTGGAGCAAAAGGTATCATGGGCCGCATCTAGGAAACGCTGGGAAACCATGCCAGTGGAACGACAGCGGTGGGAACGGGGCATCGAATAAACCATGCATCAGGATATCAAGAAAAGAAGATCTGTCTCCAAACAAACCCTCAAATGTGAAGATGGCTAAGACTCTTTCTCGCGTATCGTTGGGAACGTTGAGAAATAAACAGAATCTTGGGGTGATTGATCTGCGCAGTTGCCTTGTATTTATATGCTCACCAACCTGGCAAAGTCTCTTCTTGCGACAGAAATGACGCGTCTGGCGCAATGCATGGGATACTTATCTCTATCCACGAGCCACGCAGAATATCAGATTTTGTTCTAGATCATAGCGCTCTGCTATACATACATTGGACCAAACCATATTTACCATAGCTAGGATGTACTTTCAACGATGGCAGTGTCAGATTGCAAGAACCAAAATGAAAATGCGGTACCACAACGCAACTGATAAGCCAGAAAAAGACACTGGAGATAAATATATACAAATATATAAGATCGGCATTATGTAACACTGCCAATCGCAGTAAAAGCACCCTTATGATTTTAACCTTAACCTCAAGCTCCGAAACAAATCACTGAAACAATCGTTCAAATATTAATGGAAAACCATCCCTCAGTAGGTCGTATCGTGCATTACTCAAAACATACAGCTAACATATAATATCAGTATCCAGCTCTGCAATCTCTCCTCCGCAAATACCCAAAGGCAGCCGGGTCCCTTTTCCAGACCTACAACGACTTGTTACTCGGTGCGTATTCGTCTCAGTAGTACTCGCCTTCCTCTTCCCCATCTAGTCTTAGCTTAACAAACCAAAAAAAAAACTAAACTAAATTTGTAGCTCAGAAATGGACCAGTATTGAGCTCCTCGATCTCTCTTCATGTTCGAGGGCAGCGATCAAAGGCCAAAAACCGCGTGTAGTGAGCACCGATCAGATATTTTCATATTCGTGCACGCGTTTTGACCGAAGTATTGTCACTGACTCATAGGAACCTGAGCCACTTCGCCCCCCCTACATCGTCGTCCCGTGCTCTCTCGCCGAGTCACTCTCAACATCGTGGTAGGTTGCCCCTCTTCATACTAAAAGAGCCGCTAGTCTTAACCCTCGAATGAACACGCTAGGCTCCAAGCCGCATTCACGCACCTCGACAAGCTCAGCGATGACAAGCCAGCAAGCGAGATATTCCTCGCGATGACGTCTGAAGATGCATCCATCGTGTACTACAAAATCTCTCGGGGAATTGTCAAGCCTCCTATGTAATCGCACTTGGTCCAAGTCATCACCATCATGCCATCGGCATATGCGAGCATCCGCTCTCCTTGTTGTCGTGTCGTATCACTCAGCTTGATCCGATTATACCGACACGAGGCTTCAATCCATCGTGTTCTCCTCGGGTTCATCACTATTCGGGTGTTTCGACTACTCGTAGGGCACGCCAAGCCATCACTGCTCAGTGCTAAGTCCTACCATCTCCAAAGACGTATAACCAAATGCTATATTCTGCGCAGCATAAAAAAAGGCCTACAATTATATGGATATGCGTACACGTATACTACGTAGTGAACTAAGTAACAAAGAAATACAAGAACAATGTTATTTTTTGATCTTTTTCTCTGTGAGACAGTATGTAGTATAATGCTCCAATGCGATATGATACGGTCAGTGCGAGAGAGAGCCTACTACAGGCCCAATGCCAAGATTTGTGAACTTTATCGTCAGTCTACTCCTTCCCCCAACTCTGCCCTTTCAGATGTCGGAGAAACAAAACATAATGAAATCAATGCACAAACGTCCTCACCCCACTAGCTCCCTCATTCTCCTTTAAAAGAAGTATACACACGACTGCAACCAGGTACACCACAACACTCGTGTACACCGGAAAGGCTCTATTGATGACGAGTAAGGAACCACCCAGCATGGGAGCAATCATACCACCACTAGCAATGAAATACGTCAGTTTTTTCCACACTTATGTGGCCAACCAGAATGGACGTCGGTGTGTGGCGTGGAACTAGATAACTTACATTCTAGAGAGGGCAGATGCGATACCACAAGCTGTTCCTCGAACTATGGAGATAGATTGTGAGCATGCTTAATCGAGGTTGAAGGTGAGTCAGGCCCGAAGACTAACCTTTCGTGCCGAATATCTCCGGTGTCCAACTACCAATTACCCCGTCAGCCAACATATACCCCGTATTCATATAAGCAAGCTTACCCATATAGCACGGCATACATCGTCTGCAGACAAGGAACAAGGGCGGTGCTCAGCCAGGTTGAAAATGGTAAAAAGGCACCAAAGGCCTAAAACATGCACTCACCGTCGAGCTCAAGCTTATTCCCACAGAACTTACTCGTACAGCAAAGGGTCCTCGGGAAAGTACAAATGCCATGCAGAACAGGGCGGTGATAAACGTAGTCAACGCGAGAGACCCACGTCGGCCAAATGGTGTTTCGACTAAGTACGCTCCAAGCTAAAGGTGCATAACATTAAATGGTGAATAAAAAAGTGGCTCTATGGGAAGCTACTCACGATAGCGCCTGGGCATCCGCCTATTGTGAAAATTACAACATCCCATAGATTTTCTTCCAAGGTTTTCGGTGATGCATCTGCATCTGATATGCTCGAAGCAGTCTCGAGCAGTTTTGGGAAGTACACATTGAACATCGTATATGCTGCAAACACAATGCGACCATCAACTTTTTGAAACACAAATTCGAGAAGAAAATAAACGACGCACCTAGTGACATAAAACACCAAACAGCCCATACCAACACAGTCGTACGCAACCACTCAGGGGAGAGCACCATTGCCAACCTATCAAGCCATGCAAGCAGAGGGCGTCGGATCCATCGCGGAAGCACCCCTCCTACACATCGTTTCACTTCGTACATCGACGAAGCACGAGACATAGCCACACTACTGGATCGTTGTCGTGAGTGCCGACGCAGAGGACGAGCGTGAGATCTCGGCGAGCGGCCACTATCCGAGTCCTTGTCGGATGGCGTAGAATCCCCGTTCCGGTCGGTCTGGACATGGACGGCCAATGCAGGACGCGACGCCTGCCCATCCCCGCGTGCCAAGCTGCTCGATGGCACCTCCTCGATCGGCGTCTTGAACAAGTGCGCATCGAGAGAGGTAGGCGATTCACCCGTAGCGCGGTAGTCCGTCATTCCACCCTCCTCGTTTCGGAGGAAGTCGCTACTCCCTTGAGTTGGGAGCTCGCCCTGCGCGTCGAACAGGACAGTGCCGTCAGTAGCAGGGGGGGCGTTGTGACTATTGCGGGGAGCATAGTCGCTGTTGACCTGCTGAGAAAGGAACGGCTCGTTCTCGCCTGTGCCTGTCTTCGGGATCGCGGATGTGGGATGATGGTCATTGACGTCATCTAAGTCGAGAGGAATCTCGGAGCCGTTGAAGCGAGATATCATTTGCAGAGATTCCAGGGCTTCTTGGTGTCGTCCTGCATGAACGAGATACCGAGGAGATTCGTGAAGGCGGAAAAAGACCATACGTGCAAGGAACATGGAGAGCGTCTATGGGATGTGTTAGAGCGAAGGAGAGAGTGGGCACGATTCTGGGGAGGAAGGAAATATGAGAGGATGAGTAGGGATGAACGTACAATAATGCCCAATGAGACGAGCATGTATTGCCAACCGCGGTTGTCTACCTCCACGTCGCATGGCACGCCAGGCTTGCAAGAGTTCTGAGGGACAACGAGCAGACCCACTACTGCTGCTAATACTGAGCCAAAGGAGAAGAATACGGATAGAGCAGTCACTAAATATTGTTTGCCTTTCGGCATGTGTTCGAGGAGGAGTGTGCCATCTGTAGGCATAGAACCCTGATGTACATAGTCAGCATCATGACAGCCATTGGAAAAATACAAAAAGGTGTGCTTACTCCGACAGCACTCCCGAGGAAAAAGAGCAAGACACAGAGTAGCCAGTATGATCTTGCGAAAGAAGACAAAATGCCAAATAGCGACGTGAAAAATAATGTCGCATTGAAAGCTGTGCTTCGACCCATCAGGTCAGAGCCTTTCCAGGACGCCGATATTAGTAGACGAACATCCAAAACGAAAAAGACACAACGCACAGGTACCCCATCCCACGGCACCAAACATCATGCCTGCAAACATAGAGGAAGACAACAGCCCGATGTAATTGTCTGAAACTGGACAGGTCCAATTGTCAAGGGGGGACATCAAGATAGCGATAAACAGGACATACTTGAATAATGTTGCTGTACTCTAGGTAAAATTATTGCAACTGCTTGGATCCACATCTAAATTATCTGTCAAAGATGAAAGCAGCACTTTGAAATCAAAGAACTCACATTGTCGGCCAGCCAGCCTGAGGTAGGGTCGTTAAATCAGTATGAGGAAAATGGTATAAGACATGGTCATGAAAGGATGAAAGATACACCTTTCCAGGGTGCAGCATGTCAGCATCCGAAGATCCACTCCAACATTTCATGTGTCGCCAGATAAGCGCGTCACACTTGTAAGAAAGACAACCACCACCCCTACGTTTTACACTCTCGCCGAACAAAAAGGAGCGAAGCAGCTGATGGATGGACGCATCACATTTTTTAACAGCCGATAATACCAGCGTAATTATGTGCGCAGGGGACGCGGCTCGAGAGAAAGCGTAGTGAGACGTTGAATCAGGACTCACCAAAACCACATAGAGACAGCAATGTCCATTGATAACTCCCTTGAGACACCAAAACGACTCAGAGCGAATACTTTGTAAAGATGAAAAGACTCACCCATGCCAATGCGATCAATAGTTCTGTCTAGCGGTGTTCTGCCATCGTCATACTCGTCGCCCTCGCATGCTGCAGTACCCTCGATGTCTGCGCTGTCGAGGTCAGTTTCGGAATTGAAGTAACTCATCCTCGTCGAGTCTGCCCAAAAACCAGAGGCGCGAGGGGTGACGGATGCCATCTGGGAAAAAACAAGCGACAGTACTTATACGCCAATATTGCGCGAGATTTGTATGTAAGAAATATCTGTGTTCGGCTTTCGCTGACTTGATTTGGCTAGTTTTCTGAGCGTTCAGGTGGTTACTGGACCCGGGGATGCCTAATGTGGCAGAGGAACGGTAGAGTCTTGTGTAAGCCACTCACGCTTGGTGGCAGGATATCTCAGGATGCGGTGTTATGGACAAATATGAGTCAGGTAGGTGAACCAGGGCACAGCCGCGAATGGTATAACAAAGGGGGAATCAGGTGTATAGGAGACGATAAACAAGAAGTACTGGCTAAAATAGAGAGACGCCTTAGATATCAGACGGCAAAAATACCACAGCAAATCGCAAAGGGGCTGCCCCAGACTGAACTGAAGCACCAGGTCCATCACGGTGAATTTGAAACACGGCGACCATGATCAAAATTAATGCCATCTCAGAAGTCTACATCGCAGCCCAATCGTCGCGTTCAGAACTATCTCCAGACCATTGATATCGGGCATTCGGTATTCAAAGTAAAAGCAGATAGAATCTCTTCTTGGTTCTTTGATATACCGGAACTATTGAGACTCTATACGACTAGAATGGCGTGAGTGTTACCGTCGCAAAAGCCAGGCATATCAACAGAACAGTACTAACAGGCGACAACATGAAATCTTTGCCAGTGATTCTTCATCTGATTTCGAGTAACTGGAGGTAACTGCATGCCTCCCGACAGCACTGTGCCCATTTTGTCCATGGGTCTTATTCGATGTCAGTATCCCTTATTAGCTAACGCAGCAAGAGACGTAAACTTCGACCCTGGTGGCATCGTAAAGTCCAAGTCAGCACTGGACCTTACTAGTGAACTGGATACGCCCATTCTCGCCAAGGTGGATCACGTTCTCTGGAACAGAAACGGAGTCAACGATGCGTGCGCGAGCTTTGCATTCAAGAGTCGAAGAGGCGCTTGGTAGACTGTCGATTCAAATGTTATGGAGAGGCGGATATCCGTGGACTCCGTCAAGGTGGAATGGAACAAATCAGAGCTACATCTGATGAACAAAACGGCAAAGTCCCTGGCGTGCATTATTGATGTAAGGACTGACCATATGCATACAATACATATATGCGAGAAGCTCTATCGTCGCAATCGTTGTGCTACATTCCAGAAACCCTTTCTCCGGTGGGCTATGAGATACGCATATCAGAAAGTTAATAACCAAGGAAACGAGAGTATACACCTTACATATATGAATAATTATTTGGAGGGTGTGATAACGGCAAAAACCGGCAGAAGATGAAGTGTTTTAATGTTGTAATGCTAGACGTTCGACACTTGCAATTGTGTCTGACTTCAATTCAATTCTCATGTTATCTCTCCCTCACGTTCCCTAGAATGAAACCTTGCTTTTACGCAATATTAGTTAGTTAGGAGCCTGTATTCCTCCCAACAGCACGTCCACATTCATCAGCATGTCATGGAAAATCCGAAGACTACAAATCGCAGTGCCCTTCACTCAATGCAGATACTCTCTCCATTCGGAACCAGACGTCGAACAGTGTTTGCCGCACAGGTCAGCTACAACAGCGCCATGATGCTCTTGTGAGCGATATGGGCATCTCGATCCCAGAAATCTCAGTCAAATTCTTCTCGGACAATGCCACTTCTCAGCTCAAAGGTGTCGAGGTTGCTAAAGTGAAGCAGGCGCTTCTTGGCAAGGGGCATATTAAAGATGGACGATGGGTCGCCTTCAAATCGGATACAGCCAAATCTACAGATGAAGAGGAAAAATCCCTCGTGCCTCTTACAGACGTTATAACGAAGATATATGAACGTAGCGGCCTTGGCGAGACTAGCAAGCGAACTATGTACATGCATAGCCCAAATTCGACATCAGAATCTGTGCTATCGAACTCAACTTGTCCTGTTGCAGCTACTTTGTCCTCTACGACACCAATAAACCCCCGGTCCCACAAGGGTCCAACAAACTCTACGATTTCTTGGGACGAGATCATGGCTGTCCCGACTCAGTTCAAGAAAAAGGCTAACGTACATAAGATTGTGTGGAGTCTCCATCACGTCCTGCGAAGTGATCCCTGCCAGGGTTTGCGTTCAGCATCTCAGTCGAAGCTAACCAGATGAGATTCTAGTTTGCCAACCGTTCAATGGTATTCACCACAAAACCGTTTGATTTCATTCAAGTCAGTCCAGTACTACTATTCTGCATTCACCTCTCATAGATTACTCATAGGAACATGAACCCTTGATACATTGTGTTATATCATTCACTTATGCGGAAAAGGTGGATCTTGGATGGGACCCTACCACGCAGCGCATAAATGTGAATGGAGAACCCTGCTATAATATCACTGTACATTCCTCCGGGATGGATGGACAGGCTCCCGCTGTCTACCGCATAATGGACATTGTCTGAGTTCGGGGCTGGCCTGCTACACGGTCGAAATAGCTCTGCACCTTCCCTGGATATTCCAGGGAAAGGTCGTGCTCCTCATGTAAGTCATTATTGGTACCCATTCAAGGGTCCACTATCGGATCATTTTCCAAGAGGTCGACTTGCCGATATACACCTTGAGGCGCCCTCTCCCACTCCTCAGCCGAAGAGGCAAAAGACCGTAAGTGTTCCACAGCAGTAGGTGTGACCGAGAATAATATCAGGTATAGTGAGAAGACACGGCTGACAATCATGTGATTTCTTTTCACCTGATTTTTGGATGATCACCACAATGGTATTGTCGGTCTTCAGTCCCAAACATGTACGCTTTGCGTTCAAGATTTCAGTCATTGGAAATAAAGGGATAGCCGAAAAGTCTTTCTTCATGTCTTGGCTCTACTAGCCTTGCTCGATATTGTCCAACTCAAAACGAGCCTTCTGGACGTTAACTGCCTGACATCAACGCGGGGGCAGAACATGCATGAGACGTGTGTATATAATTGATGTTGATTGACAGACGCTTTGAGTAGGCCAAGATTGGACGTGGGAGTGCGCTCGAAGTAAGCAAATAAAAGAGGATGTACTGTACGACGAGACTAGCTATAGGATATTCACAAAATGCTTGAACGCATCGATGGTCCACGGGTGAATTGGTTGTGGCGGAGTTTCTCAGTTCTGCAACATATGGTCATATATATAGAATCTAGAAAACTTCGCATCAACTTGAATAACTGAAGATCGCTCAAATGGCTGAACCTCAGATTGACGGTCAAGAGAAGCCTACGCTTGCTTTCTTGGGCCCTGTTGGCACATATTCTCATCAGGTAAGTTCTCTCTCACTCATCTCAGGATATAACCTTGGGCTGAATGGAGACAAGGCTGCATATGATAGATTTGGATCAACGGTGACTTACTCCGAAAGGCAGACCATCACTGGTCCGTCGTTATCTAGACCGAGTGGCTATTCTCCATTCTAATCCGATGGCTAGATGTCTTCCATGCCCTGTCGCCCTCTGTCCCACTGGCTCTCATACCACAAGAAAATTCAATTCATGGCGCTGTCATCGATACGTATGATCTGCTTCGCTCGCCATGCATGGGGAAAACCAGCTTTGTTCGCGGAGACGTGGTATTGAGTATCAAACACTCGTTAGTAGTCAGGAAGGGTGTAAGGCTGGGAGAGATCCAGCACGTTTTAAGTCACGAGCAAGTAAAACATTCTCTCGTACCAACTCTCAAATCTCTGTATTGACTATGGTATAGGCTTTAGGACAATGCAGGGCCTTTCTACGGGAACACCTGCCTACAGCTTCTCTCGTCCCTTATGCATCTACTGCTGGAGCCGCTCGAGCTCTCCTGTCTCCCTCTATTGATGGCCTCGATCCCCTCAAATGTGCAGCTATCTGTTCTCGTGTGATCGTTAGCATATTGCCGGAATTGGAGATTTTAGAGGAGGGTATCCAGGATAACAATGGTAAGTGGCTCTACCGCTTTATTCGTTTGAATTGGGATTTAACACTCGACATTGTGCGTAAAAGTGAACTACACTCGCTTTTATCTCCTGGCATATAGTGATCATACCGCGATACCACCTCCATCTACCGCGCCACCCACCCAAAGACATGCGTTAGTTCGCATAAGCTATCCACCAGGTGCAATGGCCGAAAAACCCAGAAACCAAACCCGTCTATTGAATGCACTCGATTTATATGTCATACGACTGGATCGCCGACCGTCGCCTTTACCGATCCCTTTCCATGATGTATATTTCGTGGAGGTAGAAGAGGAAACGATGACTGATCCATCGTGGACTAATCAAGTTATGCGAGGCATACAGAGAGTGAGCAAGCAGGGTGGGGAGGCTAACCTTTTGGGGATGTGGTAATTTATGAAGATTATATATCGTACAACTAACTATCTTGGACGTACTAAAACAAACTGCAGTGTCTGGGAGACGAGGACGTGCGACTCGCAGTGAAGATAGATTCTTTCCGACTAAAGCAGCCATGGAAATCTTATCATTTGACATAGCCCAATGACTGATTATGACTCGACCCAGTCTTCATATTACCACATATATAACATTCACCGCTTTCATTCATAGCACGTCCCTCCTGGCATACTTACCCGGTCCTGACCAAGTAAATTCTTGCACCAGAGAGAGAGAAAAGGTGACGAGAAAACAATCCTGGTCCTCGGGTGTCGCCGAACCGCCGATATACGTTTTGCGCGATCGATTTATGCTTTACACAGCTGATCTTCTTCAAGAAGCTCAGAATGGTGTCGCCCCAGTATGACATCTTCACTCTGGAAAGACCACTAACAGATACCACCATCGCTAAATTCTCGACGTTTCGGTTGCTAGCGCTGAAAACAGATCCAGCAGCGTTTGCATCGACTTACGCACGAGAATTGGCATTCTCACGGGAAGTATGGAGAGAGCTCCTCGACTCACCTCATCAAGCTACGTTTGTCGCCGCGGTTCGAGGGGAGCTGATCAACGGTGACGAGTGGGTTGCGACGGTCACGGTGGTAGCACCTTCAGCCCTTCCTCCAGGTAGCTTGGAACCATTCCAAACAGCAGGTGTCAGAGCTGGCTGGGATATATATCATTTCGTGGCCATGTGGGTGCATCCCGAACATCGAGGAAATGGACTGGGGAGGAAGTTGGTGGCATCGCTGTTGGAATGGGTACAGAATCACGATGATGGCCCTAAGAACGATAACAAAGATAAGGTCGTTACTTTAATGGTGGCGGAGTCAAACGAGAGCGCACGGGCGTTATATGATAAGATGGGCTTTGAGGAAATACAGAGCATGAGGCAAGACAAAGGGTTTGTCTGGATGATGAGCCATATTGTAGAGCATAGCACGTGATACTTTTGCAGGACGAAGAAGGGAAGAAAGGATAGGTGAGTAGCGAGAACTTCAAATGCAAGGGAAAGAATATTGACACTAGCAGAAAGGTTGGACTCGGATCTATAAACCTTCACGAAACCTCGTTTTCTGTGAGGTAGTTGTAGGGTGTAAATGTGCGCTCTGGCACGGCCTCTAAACTGGGGGAGAAGGAACCAGAATACAACACTGTGGCATCGAAGTTCTTCATATAAACACAAGGGTCGCCAGTGTTCGACTTTGGAAAGTTTGCACGCTCGGCACATCTCCTTTTCGTTACCATGTCTGACACCGAATATCAACATTATACCAACCTTTGTACGTTCTGTCCAAGTCAAAGGCTCTTAACCGAGACTTGTTCATATGGACGACTTTGCCACACATCGAAGCACTGGCAGGTGAGTCTATGATACTCAAACTTGAAGTGTTACCCACACGTTGCCTTACACTCTCGACATCATGATGTCAGGTCTTGACATCGATTCGCGTGACCCTCTGACGGTTTCTACACTGCGTTGTATCGCTGGATCGACCTTGTGATGTCGAAGTAATGCCGCGTGCCTTACAAGCTATACTATGTTAGAGTCGCGCATTCGAAGAGAGGAATGCCCCTGTGTGAAAAATAAGTATCACTCAAGTCGGAGATGCTCTTCCCCCTACGCCAAACGAGCTGCCCCGCCCCGGGTGATGAGGGTATATTGACTCAATTGTTGTCTCATGTTACTTACACTCACTTTTATACCTTTTCATACATCGGCAGGGGCAACGGAAATTTGGAGCAGAGTTTACGGTTATCACGTAATGATCACTCTTTCGAAGATGACGACGAGGAATGGGAGACATGGGAGACAAAAGACATGGTACATATTTGATGTTACTGTCGCCATTCATGCCATAGTACATTAATACCGCATCACGCGACAGGATTAACATGTTGCTGCCTTGACTACAGAGTACCGTCGAAAACCAATAGACTATGTATCACAAGATAGCCTCCTTCAGAAACATGATATGGAAGTTTTCTACGTACTTTTAAATACCTGCCCTGATATTAACAAAACATCCGAACAAACCTTGGGCGTAGTCACCTTTGACATAGTCTTCATGGGAGGGTGAAACTTGTTTATAAGCTGCATCCGTGGCGCAGCGCATCTTACCAAGAACATCAAGACGATGAATACCAGGAGATACATCCAAGTTTGCGCATGATTTCCCCCAAAGTGATCTCCATGATTGAGAACAATAGACGGAGCCAAGACATTTAGACGAGCGCTCATACGTCGGGATATTCTCAAGAGGACTTGTATGAGAAAGCCACCAATAACCACGCAAGAGACCATTATACTGGATTTGGTTCAACAGACTCTCGGGTGATAGTCTACCATTACTATTCATCTCGTCCATTCGTAGTATGTAGGAGTAGTATGCTGCGCCTTGGAGTGATTGCAGTTCGTATTTGTCGGCGATCAATAATGCAGGTATAGCGGGAATACTACGGGAGAGGAGACGTGGAATCCACGCTTCGAGCAGCTTGCTGCGGAGACAATCGTCCTGGCAGATATAGGAGATATCTAGCAATCGTGAAGCGGAATCCACTCCGGAATGCCAAAACGCCTTGTTGCTGGGCACCTCACAGAGGACAACACATGCCCGTTCTTCGATGTGTGAGAATTGATATTTGTGTGCGATTTCTGCCACCTGTGCTAAAAATTCAACGTTATCCGTAGTGATGAAAGAACTTCTAGTCAAAATGGCATTTGGTCTGTGATATTGGGAGATGCGAGCGAGACAAAAAGAAAGTAAGTTCATTATACATCAGGGGGAGAAGAAATTATGATTTCACAAGGCGTACAGAACCCAAAGCAACGATCTGAACTGCTCGACACTGTCTCCCTGAAGGAAGATAGGGGTAGTATCGCTCGATCCTTCAAGTTCGCCGTCGGAATGAGTTTTATCTCCTCCACCCGATACCACGAACATGTCGCTGAAAGCAGAAGTATCACGCGAGAGGACCCATCGGTGAACCTACAAGGTTGAGACAGAATAATAAGTATAAACCACTTAGTGGTGACGATATAATAAAAAAGAACCCACTTTGAAGAGAGTATCTCCTACTTGAATGACACAATCGCCATCGTCTATGTAGTAGACATCATCGTGGATCGTTGACTTTGAGCTCTCCATTACTTCAGGGGTTCTTGAGACTCCCGTGTCCGGGTCACCAACCATTTTATCAGATGCCGGACAAGTTGATTGTTCAGTAATACTTAAAAGCGCTAGAGACAAGTGTACTGGCCTAGTCTAGGCCATCTTAGGGGCTCCTCTACCACTGTAACTTTTCAAATTCATAAGGTCGACGTCCGATGCGCCCACTTGAAGCTTGAAGCTTCTTGAAATCCATGTATGGACATTCGGCCTAGATATATTAATTAGTCGACATCTATTCTTCGTATGTCCATTATTCACGCTACTTCACCACCATTAAGTACGAAACTTCCATGTACAGGGTCAGAGTTTCTGCTAGTTGGTGACCATCTCAACGCTCACCCAAATTTGCGGGGAAAATCTGCGTCTCTTCACTTTGGCCACACACATAAAACGATCCCTATGAAATCCAGTCCGAATTTACATGACCACTGCACAATAGCAAAGGCCAGATATGAAGAGCATAGAGTGAATCAACGAGCAGAGTGTCGGGTTGGCAGAATTCTACTTACGTTTCTAGGAGAATATGAAGTTAGTTATCACCCTAAATTTACACTGCTGGGAGTGTAAAGCAAAAGCAAAAGCAATGAATCTGTCAGTTGATGAGCACTGATATTTTCAGCTGAGAAAACAATCCTTTGCTGTATAGATGCAAGGTCTCAAGGAGAATAAGATCAACTGAATAACACCGATATTACAACAGGTTAGTATGACATGCTAATAAACACCGAAAAATATGAAGGTTCAAAAAACTAGGGACTAAGACCATCCCTCCATGCAGAGAACATCATCAAGGCGAAAGACTGTGCTTCAGTGGACAGCAGTCCTTGTGCATCCCAATTGAGAGGGTCGACGACAGGGCTCAACGTTCCAAGATTCGTGACTCTGCTTAGCACAGCATCCCGGAGCTTGTTTGCGACAGTGGTGTAGTTCGAGCCAAATTGGTGAGGGAAAAGCGTAACAGAGCGATAGGCAACGGAGGCCAGAGCAGCTGATGCAGAGGCGTCGTCGAAAGTAGATCCACCGATGACATAGTCTGGAATGAGGTTATCCGAGGTCTTGATAGTGTTTTACACAACATTGAATTAAGACCATTTCAAAGATGAGAGCTACACACCAGTGCTGCGAACTCGCCATCGAGAATTTCCTTGACCCAGGCCATTAAGTCAGATACCTGGCTCGTCATACCGCCACAGCAGCCGGCCTTTTGTATTGTGACTGCAACGCGCAACATACCGAGTGCAGCCCATGCATTGCCTATACATATGGAAGTGGTTCAGTAAGCCCCAAGGGAGAACTCGGGAGGCAAGTTTGGCCCACCAGTTCCCCAAAGTCCTTTGTCGATCCAGCTTTTGGTGTCGTCAGAGTAGATGTGTCCCCATAGTTTTCCAGTGGGTCCATCGAGCAGGAGTGCATCACGATAGAGGCGGCACTGATCATACGCGATTTGAAGTAAAGTTTGGTTTTGTGTGACTGCTCCGTAGTAAGCGATGAAAGGAAAGCCCATGTATACACCATCAGCCCTATCCCAGGTGTTAACGATTATATATGTAAATACGAGAACAACAAGCACCAGTATTGACGCGAATTTGCTCTATGAGAAATTGCGCCGGTGGAAGTGCGTGGTGCGACGTTCAGAACCTTCCAGAGAGTGACGATTAAAAAAAATAGTGAAATCTAGACAGGAAATCGCTTACATAGTTGAGTTCTGCTTCAGAAGCATGAAGCCAGTACGCCTTGCGAGATTCGTCCGTGAAGCTACCTGAGGACCAGAGAGTAAGAATCGTTTCCGTCATAAATAGAGGATCGGCAAACCCATGAGTACTACAGACCCTGCGGATGCACCGTCAAGGGCTGCACCGTCCAATGCATCATTGATATTTTGACTAAGTCGTCCGTCGGCAGTTTGGCGGACTGCTGCACTGTATGCAAGCTGGAGAGCTGAAATTGGCTCTGTACCATTGAAGGTAAATGGTGATCGGCCGAAAACGGAGTATTCGGGGTTGTCGTATTCGAGGATACCTCCTGCTGCAGTTCCTTGTTCCCAGCTTGATACAAAAAGTCAGCAGAGATATTTAAAAAATATGTCGACAACATCATCGCTCACCTGGTTCGGATAGAACCTAACATTGCAGATTTGACATTTGGAATGACCCCCTCATAATTTTGATACAAGGAGACTTCTGAGGTATCTCCGGTGGTAGCCCCGAAAGATAACTTGGTAACTGAAAGTAGAAAAACGGAGCGAATGATCAGTTGCATAGCTGCAGTACTTTTGGATGAAAGTAGTGTGGTTTATGATCTGGAGAGCAGATAAAACCAATGACTCAATATTATTTTTTGGGGGGCGAAGGGACAGGGAACGAAGATCAAAGGGCGACTCGGATGGTCTGCCTTAAAAGCAAAAATAAGATTCACAAAGGGCCGCGTTCCATATAAGTGAATAAGAATCAGATTCAGATCAGCGCTAACTTGGTCGATACGGAGGGACGATACGGTGACATGGTTGCTATTTAGTTGATCAAAACCTTGACACAAGTCCACCTTGTTATTCTTGATGTAAGCACATAAGTGCTGAGATGGCGTGGGCGTACTGACGGTATGATATGAGCCGCATCCTCCACGAGCTCTACATTTCATGGGTCTCGTCCACTTCCAAATAGAAGGCTGATCATCGTCGGCCTTGATTGACTTGGAGGATCAATTTTGAGAATAGGTAACATTGCAGTTATTAAACCCACGTGACGGTGCGAAACTTTTGCAGAACGATTGACCGAGAGGTCTCACGGCCATTTGCGTCTCAGAAACCAGTTGACATGAATGATGATAGTACTTAGCCTGGGTTATGGGAAAACATCACCATATATATTGTCCTATGATCCCTGGACCTGTAGTGCCCATTCGGCAGCCACCGTTTCGAAACGTCGCCCCGCCAAAAACGTCTCATTTTGTTTGAAACAGTGCCATTCTAAGACAGGCCTTTTTTGAACAAAGTATAATTCTGATGAACAGAAGACTCAGTCCGAATACTTGAGAACTGAGGTGGCAACATGCAATGTGGCTGAATATAAGTGTGGTGTCATGTAATCAGTAATTCTATGCTAAAGTTGCTTTTAGGGGGTCAAAAGGGATAGGAAAAAAACACACCCACTCAATGAATGCATAGTTACTTTAAACCCATAAATGAAATAAACATCTGGTACTTTAAGTTTTTTAGTCCTTTGGTTAACACATCTGCAACTTGATCTCCAGTGGGTACATATTCAAGATGCATGTCCCCGCTAAGAGTGCTACCTCTTTCATATCACTCTATATACCTACATACTTCATGCTACACCAGCTCTTGCATCATGTCCACTGCTCTTTTTATCCACTTTGCACCCTCTGCAAAACCATGCGGTGTGTCATATCCATACCGGAAGACAGAACTCCGGCATCTCCGAGCCCAAAGCTCCTGAACCATTGGCATACTCGGGATTGTGTTCCTTGTGGTCTGCCGGTTGGCATAACCCTACACCCCAGTTCCACATAGTACTCTAGTTGTCTGCCCCGATAGACCTTATGATATACTCCTAGCACATACATTCTCCTCTCGCTAGATAATTGTCCCCATGGAACTCTGTACCTACATTACAAGTTACTCCTTACAAGCTCCTGCTCCCCCAACAGTATATAAGCTGGAACTCCTGTACTCCGTTCCTGCAGTTCAAATATCAACTAGTTTCCCTCGCCTTTTTACCAGTCCTTTTCTAAGTCCTTTCTGATCCTTCTCCGAAGGATCTTTATTCTACTCCCCTTTCATCCTCTACACTCCTCCGTCCATTTTCCGTTGAGTGAGGGACCAAGGTCCATGGAAGGGCCTAGCACACAAGCTAAGCCAATTCCCCATCTCGTACTCCATTACCCCCTACTCCATCTCCATACTCCGTAACTCCAAACACTCCGTAAGGTCACAGTTCTGGCAGAGTAGAGTCAAGGTTCAGGAGACTTGAATAAAGGTGAGGGAATCTAGTTGATATTCAAACTGCAGGAGCGGAGTACAGGAGCTACAACTTATATACTGTTGGAGGAGTAGGAGCTCGTAAGGAGTAACTCATAATGTAGGTACAGAGTTCCATAATAGAGGTGGTGCTGATCAGCTACAAGTTCAAAAAGGGCAATATTAATTGCTATTCCACGTGGCACTGTGCCTGTGTGGTGTAAAGGCAAGTCTTTGGAATATTTGCTTCATTGTTGACACCTGTCCATGCTACCAATCAATTTTGGTGCATGATGCTGCATCTCCGGTGGGGTTGTGAGGCCCAAAATTGGAGCGGAGTCTGGAAAGGAACTCGGAGTAATCATCCATCCAGATAGGAATGGTGGCGAGGTTCTCTGGGGTCAAGATATCCAGCTTGAACCAATCTAACACCATTCTCTCAAGGAAGGAGATAGCATAGTTGATCTTTGCTCGGTCAGTTCAGAAAGCGCCTGGACGGTTGTTGAAGTTCAGTTGGCACTGCATGATGAAGGAGTGGAGTTTTCAAGGGTTGGAGCCATCAAAAGTGTCTGGCTCTCTGATCTTGGTGTGTATAGCATACTACTTTGCATTTAGTGTGTACTTTTTGCATCTAGATTGATTTAAAGCATAGTACCAAAACCTAAAATGACTATGCTTTAGTTGCTCTAGTTGCTGTAATAAGCTTTATTTTACTCTGAAGTAATTACAGAGTATATTACCATTATTATACTATAGGTTCAATTATGGAATATATACAAAGTAATAAATATAGTATACTATTGGAATATACAACTACTTAAAGGCAATTTTTGGATTTACTATTAAAAAATCAGAAACAAATAAATTGTGTATAAAGAAGCATAATTTACCAGATAAAAAAAATTTATATTAGCACAATTACACCTATCACCAGCACCAACCTTTGAGATATTGAGATATTGTAGACAGTGTTGAAGACTTTTATAAAATTCATAGCTATCATGATCAACTTAATTAATTTAGAAAATGTATAGGTACTTAAATCTTATCTGAATTTAGAAGTCATTGTCCAGTCGATAATTTTTTTCCCACACCTGGAGGTTGTGCAAGACAGTGTGGAGTGCTCTGCAGACTTTTCAAGCTCTGCTCCAATATGGTAGTTGTGTTCCCAATTAATTGAATCTTTGTTTTGCCTTAATTTAATTACTGGATTATTTAATTTGTCTGCAGTACAATGTATAAATAAAATGGGCATGAAGGAAAGGGAGATGAACAAATTCAAAACCTTTACAATGAAGTGGTTTTAACCACTATTCCTGATGTGTCAAGCTCAAATCAAAACCTTGAGGGGGCTATATCAATTGCTACTTCAATATCCAAGCCAAGATATCAGCAAGAATATGTCACACATTTTAAACTGGTTGAGCAAAAAACTAGGGAGGATCCTGTTGGTCAATGTAGAGGAAACACATGCTAGCAGGTGTCAGTGGAGATTTAATTCCAATCTCACAAGCATGCCAGCTGTATGGAGACATGAGGAAAGGCTGTGGTAGTAGCCCCAGTTGCATAGTGTAGCATAACATAGAACAACAATTTGTCAGTATCATCCTATTATAATCCACAGTGGACTCAGTGAGTACAGAAAAGCAAATTGGGCCAGCCGGGGATTGAACCCAGGACCTCTGCCTATATATGGCGGTGCTCTAACCAACTGAGCTACCAGCCCTTGGATATCAACACTCAATTGCACAATGTTGTCTAACAAGGCCCAGGCTTGGACCTTGACAATTCCAACACATCCTGACTGTAACAGCTACTCTTATACAATCTGTTTACACTTGTGAGCCATATCACACCTCTATTTTAGGAGTGGGTTATGAAGCTGCTAGCTGGACACACAGCATATACAATGTGAGTTTGGTGTGTCCTATAATTTTTTTGCAGCTTTGATCACTGCTCTGCAGGAATTAAGCCACAAAAACTCTAGATATGTATCACTAGAAGATAAGTTGGCTATATTTCTATATGCATCAGTGACAGGGCTCACAATCAGGTACTTGGGGGAACATTTCCAACAATTTGATAAAACAATATCAAAGTATGTTTTAATATATATATTATATAATATTATTCAATCATAATTCTTAGGTATTTTGAGGAGATGCTTTTTATTTTCTTCTCACTTTCATTCTATACTATATATGTACATCTGCTAACTGGCAATAATCAACCAAGATTCTCAACAACCCAAAGTTCTTCCCCTATTTCTGACGTAGATTATGATATTCTCACTGTAATAAATGAGTAGAAGTCTCAGTTCAATGTGCAATGAGCTGATTATTATGAGGAAAGTCTATATCTGTAGTAAATGAGTAGAAGTCTATGGAGGATGTTCAGAAAGGATTATTCTACTGTAAGTCTAAATTAATATGCTCACCTCAGTTCAATGTGCAATGAACTGAGGTACAAAAAACTAGAGTCCGAAAGAAAATAAAACTATTGGAGAAATCCAAGAAAATGGATATGGTGTTTGTTTCTCACGTTGGTGAGAGTTCATACTTGTTGTGTCACAAACTGTATTCACTATGGACTTTATTCCTTTTCTCAAGTAGCTACGCACCGCTACCTACCAACACTTTCCCACATACTATTACCTGTTATGGTACCACCTATTATTGTTTGTTCAACACAAATGCCTACCCTAAAGTAGGCACTATATATATGCGCCTGTATTGTAGTTACTATCTCCAATATCATTGTACGCTTCAACAGTGTAACTTGGTATTCATCAGTCTGAACCTCATCACCAGAATACGTCTCAAACCCGTTCACAAACGGGCTTATTAGAAACTACTTGCACATCCAGAAAACCCTGTGTTACCAGGCTTGCACATTCCAAGTGTAACATGTTGCAGCATTGTAGCTGCATCATATTCCTACAATTTCAAGGATGCAGTGGGTGTAACAACCAAGAGTTAGTTACTCTGGTGCACACAAGAACACACTATAAAGAAGATGTTGAGGGAGTGGTTACCCCTTAAGCTGCAGAGAGTTTGTTGGTATACAACAGGAGGACTCGCTGAGGAGTCTCCTGGATCTATTGGGGTATATATACTACTACAGGTTGTTTGTACATGTATACTATACAGTTGATGAAGGCAGTGGCTGATGATGTCATAGGGCCTAGCCCGTATGGCCAGCTCCACTGTGTGAGAGAGTTAAGTCTAAAAGTAAAAGAAAGGCAACGCGGCGCGAGAAAGGGAAATGCCGCGTGGCACTTAAAGTATAAAGTTAAAGCGGAGAATAAAAAGGAAAGGAGATGTCCGGAAATTGTGTTATCGTAACACTACCCCCCTTCTGAGGCTCGACTTCCAGGCGAGACCAAATTCCGGAGGTAGTGGTAAAATTTTCGGGCATAGGTTGAAAGAGGGAATTAAAAAGGTTTGAATCCATGCCTCTAAGCTTCCTGGGAGCTGAGGGATTCCTAGAATAAAATTTGCGAACAGCATCGCGGGAGTTTTCCAGATGGGATTCTGGTTCCCACGTTCTGTCCTCGTCTCCATGGCCTTTCCATAGGACCAGGAACTCTAATTTTCCACGCTTCAAGCGTGCATCTACCACCCATTCGACTTCGAACTCTTCTTCACCTTCCTGGGTGACTACCACCGGACCGGGCCGGTCTACGCGCTGTCCCGGTAGCGGTCCTTTGTAGGGTTTCACACGGCTAATGTTAACCGTGGGTACCACCCTCATTCGTTTTGGGAGTTCCAGCTCCACCGCATTAGGTTTGACTTCCTTAATCCGGTAAGGGCCAATCCACTTTTCGGTCAGTTTTCTAGACTGCCGGTCTTTTAATTTTAAGTGGTCGGTGTCTCACCAAACCAGGTCGCCGACCTTGTAATCAGGGGCCTTAGAGCGTCTACACTCTGCCCTGTCTTTCATCTGCTCCGCAGTTTTAAATAGCGCTTTGCGCGTTTCGTCCAAGACAGACTTCATGTCTTTTGCCATGTTCCCAGCAGCCTCGTTTTTGCTTTTGCCAGGTTCTACACCCATTCTGGGGAGGTACGATCTAGTAACCTCGAATGGTGCCTTTCCTGTAGCCGACGACTGTTTAATATTATAAGAGAACTGGGCTATCTTTAGCCACTTGGCCCAATCTGTCTGTCTGTCGTTAATAAATATCCCGAGATACTGTTTCAACTCCTGGTTGAGTCTCTCCGTTTGTCCATCGGTTTGCGGATGGAACACCGTGGATAATTTAGGTTTGATGCCCAGCATCCGGCACAATTCTTTCGTAAACTCGCTAGCGAATTGCGGTCCTCTATCGGAGATTACCGTTTCTGGTAACCCATGGATGGACCATACGGAATCCTTAAATAGGTCTGCCGTACCGGCGGCGGTGATGGTTTTGTTGGTGGGTATGAATACCACTTCTTTGGAGAAGCGGTCTACTACCACCATTACTGAATCGTACCCGTTTGACTCGGGCAGATCCGTCGTGAAGTCGACCGATATATCCTGCCAGGGGCCAGCTGGTATCGGGTTCGGCAT